CGCTTGGTTGAACAACTTCATCGGGTGACTGTGGAATTGGTTCGAATGATTGATGAAGAGTATCTTCCACTGATTTTTCATCAACGAGATCAGACCAAGTCATATTCGATACTGACGTCGCCTGATCTAGATCGTTAATAACTGACTCGATTGTTTCATTTACCAAATCTTGAATAGTATCAAGAAGAATTTGATTTGTATCAGCATCAATCTGATCAGTTATACGATCTTCTGTTGATGTTGATAAATCGGTAATATCATCTTGTTTTGTTTGCAATATCGATTCTTCTTCTTGTGCTCCTTCTGCTTCTGCTGTTGTTGTGATATCTTGATCCTTGTTGTCACTCGTAGAAATCTGAATAACAAAAATAGTTTTCTAGAAAAAGCATTTTCAATACAACGAACCTGTTGTTCAAAGTCTGGAACTTCTTCAGCCGTGGAAGAAGAAGTGACATTTTGAAGTCTTTCCGTAATAGCAGCTATTGGATGAGTAATAACGTCTCGAAGAGTTTCGAAAGCCGATTTAGAATCTGATGTCTCAATGTGTTGTTCATCAACAGCGGCATCTTTGGCGAAGTTTTCATTCTGTTCACTGGTCGACGTTGATACGATACTTTGAATTGTTTCAGTCAATGTACTTATTGGATGAGTGACAGCATCCCGAATAGTTTCGAGAGTAGTCTTTGTGTCAGATGATTGAAGTTCATTCGTGTCTGTATTCATTTCGGTAGAAGAAACTTTTTGTTCTTTTGAATCGTCTGTTTGAGGTATGATTTCATGGAGTTTTTCAGATAGGGTTGCTAACGGATGAGTAATCACATCACGAATCACTTCTAAGGTCGTTTTCGTTTCGACAGATGTATCCGCATATGCACTATCGACTGTAGTCGATATTGTTTCAGCTTGAACTATTTCTTGTTTATCAGAATCATATGTTTGTTCAGACACGTCATCGCGGGATGCCGCAGTAGGTTCTGTAACTGTGGTCAAGGAACTGTCTTCATCATCTTTATCTTCTGGTAATGGAAGATGTCCTGTTGTTTGATCATTCGATAATGTTTCCTAAATATCACGATAAATGCAAAGATTGTGCGTTGTTTCAGATGGTTACTCACGGCTAGTAGAGGTGCTGTTGGAGTTGATTCAAGAGCAGAATCTTCTTTTAACGACGTGATAGGCTAAAAATAGTGGTGAAGAATCTTCAAAATAAAATTTCATTCTATAAAACTTACTGTAGCATCTGTAGTGGAAGATTCTGCGTCATCGACATGTACTTGAATAGTAGATGCATTATCCTAAATGTTCAATATTCTTAGATTTTGTAAATATCACTAGTATTATGAACGTACTGCTGTTGGTGATGATGAAAGTTCTGTTGTTAATGGTACTACTTCTTGGTCTTCTTTTCGCTCGTTGACTTCTTCAACCAAAACATTCGGAACATCCGATTGTGTTTGACGGATGTCTCTTTCATTGAATGCAGACTCGACAGTAATATCAAGCTCGTCGCTTTTATTAACATCGTTGGATGTTACGTTCGGTAATTCGACATCTTCAACAGAATTCGAACTTTTTTCTAATGGATTTTCAATTGATTGGGACGAAGACAATTCTGCAGTTGTATCTTGAATACTTTCCAGCACTGTACTTGGAGTGTCTTCTGTAGATTTTTCCTAAAAAATCATTTTTTATGTGCAGATTGTTACAAATAATCATCAGTTTGTCTACCTCTTCTGTCGGAGCGATGTTTTCAAGAATCGTGTCTTTTGTTTTACTTTCGAGTTTCAGCGGTTGTGCTGCAGCGATGGTGTGCATACTGGAAACAGCACTTTGAATAGTTTCAATTAATGGTGTAATCGGGGTTGAGATTGAATCTCGAAGAGAAGTAAAGAGAGATTCGGTTGTGCTATCAGATTCTATTCCTGAACTTTTATCCTTGATTTAAAAAATATAAAATGTTTTTGTACGCATATGTCCCATTGAAAAAAGATCACTTACGAATGAGTACTGTTGATGATCGCCCTGGCAACCATGATAGACATCGCTACTAATAAAGCGATTTGCTACTGCATCTGCAAGTGTATCGATTGGACTTAGAGTTACTGATGGTGATATCGAAGTTGATTCCTCGGTGATTAATTCATCAGATTGGGACGGAACGTTTTCTAGAATCTGTTCGAACGTTTTCATTCGACGTTTATCACTTGAATCCGTTGATTCAGACTGCGACACTTCATTGATAGTAAACGTATCTTCTTTTGACGAGTCGTCGGTTGATGGCGATTGTGTATTGGTTGGACTAGGTGAGCAAACGTGCTCAGAAGTGTTAAGCGGCAAGTCGGTAGGCGATTCAATAGATGGTTGATCAGTAGTTGTACTTTGATCATCTACTACTGTAATCATCGTCGGTTCAGAAGTGCTATTCTCTTCTGTTAAACTTTGAGTAAGTGAATTTTCTTCGTCTTCGTTGTCTTCAACTGCTTCATCCCACGTTACGCGTTTCGCGAACTTTCTACCTGGTGTATCATCATCAAGTGTTTGTTCTGCTGCATCTATCACAGATGTACCTTCTGGAGCACTTGATAGTACATCTGTTTGCTGAACTTCACTTGTCGAAATGTCTGACTGAACTACCTGAACTAGCTGCTCAGGCAATGGAGCTGGTGCACTTTCTGTTTCTTCTACTTTCGCTTCTGTCGGTGGTACCTCAGTTTGAGTTTGCTCGCCAACCAGTATTTCTTTTTCAGCGGATACGGTTGTTGTTTCTTCATGTTGCTCGTCTTGTGTTGACATAGTCTGTAGATCTTGACTATCTTCCTGATCCGTTGGTACAGTTAACGAAAGTGGTTGATCAGATGTTGATTGAACTTCAGACTGATCGATTAACGAATCTTTTGTTTCTTCTACTTTTTCTTCTGTGTGAACCAATGAAGTTTGCTCCGTACTTGGTGAAGATTGTTGTTCGTCTTTTTCAGACTCTTTTGTAGTCGACATAGTTTCAGAAATTTCTGAAGCAGTTTGCTTTTCTTCTTCTTCTGGTTCCTCAGCTGAACTTGAAATTTTCTTATCATCTGAAGGAGTGTGTGTTTCTTCCTCGATCGAAGTCGATAGTTTGTGAGCATCTAATTGTGAAGATATTTCAGTATCGAGGTCAGATATAGCGGTGACAATTTTATCATATGACTCGTCACGAATCAGATGACTTGATTTTTCTGTTTGAGAAGTAACATTTGTTCTAGCAGATTGCGATAGTTGAGTTTCAAGACGTTGATTTGGCACTGTTGGTGAATTGTCTGATGATAGTGGATAGTCGAGCACACTTTTACCTGGACTCATACTGCTGATAGTCGAACTTAATGGTGAAACGCTAGCGAGAACTTCCGAGATCTGATTGATCAGCGAGTCGTATTTATTCAAAGTATTTTCAAGAATTTGAATTGGTGCAGAAGCAGCGCTGATTAACTCATTGGTTGCAGCAGACTCTCGTTCAACTTTAGAGATTACACCAGAAACAGGAGTTTCAGGCGATGGATTGACGGCTGGCGATGGTTGAGTAATCAGTGATGATTGAAACTCTTCATCGGGTTGAAATAGAAGTGTCTCAGGTCGACTAATTGATTTTTCAACTTTTGGAGTGGGTGAAATTATTCGTTCGGTCGTAACAGGTTGATCAACAATCGATGAGGTCGATTGAAATGGTTCATAGGGAGTAGGTGGCAATGTTTTGCTGGGTGCTGCAAAGAGTGTCGTATGGATGTTCGAGGGTGGATACGATTGAACCGAATAGGGAGCCATAGGTTTATAGACACTTTCATATACTGTTTCAAATCGATTGAAATTTGGGAATGTTGTCGTTGATGGTTGCGAACGGGAAGGCAAAGTTCTATTAGACGGCTGACTATCAACGGTTGAACCTGAAAGATTAGTATAAGTTGTGGCTGTTGGTAGCGTTGTTGAATGCAGCGACGTCGAATAGCTCGACGTATATGTTTGTGATTTGGGTGAAGAGTATTGTGTACTCGAGAATGGCTCACATGTCGTTGATCTCTCAGGAATGAAGCTTGACGAATATGTAAAGCTTCCTGTAGGCGGGAATAATGTCGGCTTATCGGATGCAGTCGATACTTGACTGCTAGTCATCGTATCAAAACGAGTTTCGCTCGTTTTCGGTAAACTACTCGTAAATATTGGTGTGCTTGTTGGTTTGAGTGGAACTGGTGTAGAATTAGTGAACACAGATGTACTTAAACGTTGGACATGTCGGGCTGGAATCGGTTTTGAAGCAAATGTAGACAAATATGCATCAGTATAGTCGGAACTCGGTGGTGTGACTGGTTTCGATGATTGTTGTTGGCCTCGCATTTCGCCCGTACCAAAGAAAGTGACAGTCTTTACTTTTCGAGCATAGTGGCTACCACTACCATTGTACTCACTCCTTTGATAGATGCCCGACCGATCATTGGCAGGAATCCATTGAACATTTAAACTAATCATCGCTGGACGACGTCGATAACCACCATAGACCTGATCGAAAATGGTCGTTTCTATTTGCGTCGGAGGCACAGAGAGAGTGGGTACATAGGGTGTTGACGAGAAACTACTGCTGGTAACACCTTCACTATCGTTACCTGTAAAGAAAACTGAGACATAAAACTTATTCTTGAATCTATGATTGCCTAGCATAAAATCATGCATTTTAGTGGTGGATGGAGCACTTGTCAATCAATCAATCAATCGTTCATTCATTCGTATCATCATGCTTTGTGTGAGTATGAGCTATTTCAGCTGAAACTACGTGTATTAAAAGACGAAGAGAAAAAAAGAAAGAACATAAAAGAGAATGAAAAACTATTGCTAGTATAAGAATAGATTAGATGAGCAAACTGAACTAGAAAGCAAGGTAAGAAAAATGAGTATAGAAGAGACTATAATAATAGTAATAAAAGAATATATCACTGGCGACAACATATAAACTGTGTTCGATTAAAGTCCAGTTCTTGTCAAGCATCAAGTGCTTTCAGCCGCAGGGCCAATGCACCTTCAGGTTCAAGAGTGAACCAATCATCGATTAAGTTTCCATCGTCTAAGTTGTAATTACCCAATGTAACTAATGCTTGACCCATGAAAACTTTGTCTGTTGAAAAGAGCGAACGATCGTTTTTGACGGTAAGATCAAGAGTTTTTAACTTGGCTTCTTCATATGTCATATCATATTCGAATGTTTCATCAAAAACAGGTGCTAATGTATCTTTCATAATTCGAGTGCGTCGTTTGGTCTTCTTACGTTTGTCCGGTAACAATAACAAACGTACATACGGATCCGATAGACTATTCTTATCCGTATTAATTAAATCACGTGCTTCATATACACGTACAATAAGTTTACCGCGTGTTCGATCGTATCGGATACCACAACGAATTTGACCATAACCATCGTCTTTACGTGTTGCTGGTAAACGATCACGTCGTTCGTTGGGATCCTCCAACGATGAGTCATCACCTTCACCACCACGTTGACCAGATGAACTTCGATCAATGGATCCACTCTGTTCTCGAACTCGATTAAGTGCACTACCACTTCGATTGATTTCTTCTCGAATTGTTGGCGGATGACGAACATTATCGCCAGATGTTGATGGCGGAAGATTTGAGCTACGTTCGTATGATGAACTTGTTCCTGGACCAGAACGATAGAAGTCGTCTCGATTGCGATTTCCACCGACGTAATCACTACCACCTACACCTCGTTGGTTACCACTGGAATCGCGTTCAATGGAGGATCGCTCATCTGATTCTATAATGATGATAACATATTTTGCATATTTTATTTAATTAAATTCTACGACGATCAACGACCACGAAAACATTGACTTGACGATGACGACAATAATAATGAAGATAACGACGAAAAAGTATCGACGAGACGCCGGATTAACTAATCACATTTTCCGTTCGGATCGCTTATCCAATTGTGAGCTCTTTTGTGTCTATTTATCTCAATGTATCACTCTAGATGTGAACATTTCCGAACGGAAAAGATTTTTCTCGAGTAGACGTACAAAATGTCAGATCATCTGATACGTTTTCAAACACCAATTATTTATTTGTTAACTAACTAAATACAATATTGGATAGGCAGACAATCACAACAATGAACAAGCAAACAAAGGAAAGAGGAGAAGCGGTGCAAACATGCAAATCTCTGCTCCTTCAAAAGAAAAATATTTCGAAAAGAATTTCCTTCATTCTTCTTCGATTTTATGGAAGGAGAAAAGAAGAAGATGATGATATCTTTTCCATGGACATTTCTTGATATTTTCAAATCTGAAGAAATACAGTTCATTTTCTTGTCATGTCTTGTTTCTACTCGTTTGGTTTTGGAATGAAAAGAGACGACTCTAATGAAGGGAAAGAGAGAGAGAGAAAGCAAACAAATGTTCAGTGTTCACATTGCTAACAGAAATCAAACGAAACGAAACGAAACGAATACACTTGACTAGCGATTAAGACTAAGTTAATCATATTTATATATGTATGTGTGTTGTAGTTCAAGAGAGAAGAATGTCTTGTATTCATTATGATAATTATGTTTTGCCAATCGTACCTAGAAAAAGAAATCATAGGAAGGTTCGATAAGTGATTTCATTTTACAATTATCCGTTTTGCTCGATTGAAATTCTCGAATGACGCTCGGCTTATCTTTTAGGCAAAAGATTGACATTTAATCGTATTTACATGTAATCATTACTCTTTCCTATTGTCAAGGTTGACCTTCTGTAATTATTGATAAGAGTTTGTTTTACTTTCAACATCAGTTGTATTTCTCAAACTAAAATATTTCGTCTATTTGAAGGATAGTGCAAAGAAGAGACAAAGCAAGGATAAGAACATATCCGGCATGCAATAGGTGTATCAAATCACAACGAGCAACATGACATGGTGTACAATAGATTTTCGTCTTACCTTGACCACCACTGGTTGTTCGATAGGAACGCGAATATGAATATGACGCGCCTCCGCTGCCAGCTCCACCACCAGTAGTGGTGCTACTACCACCACCAGCGCCCCCACTACTTGCTCCGCCACTACCACCAGCTCCACCGGCAGCAGCGAAATCTGCTCGTGCTTGTTCTTCAACATTAGACACTATTTGTTTTAGACCCGCTCTGAAGAGATGCAAACATATTTTCTTTGAATCTACATTTCCTTTTGGATTATTTACCTGTTTTCTTCTCCTTCTAATAGTTTCCTATAAATGGCAATTTCTGCATCCAGCGATGATTTTGTTGTTACCAATTCATCATAATCACGTCCTAATTCTTCTAACCGAGCTCGTAGTTCTTGGATTTCCCGATCCCGTTCGTTAGATGCTTGAATACCTTCACGTCGTTCAATCTGTACAAGTTCTTCTAATTCTTGAATACGATTTTCTAACTCGCCATTCTAAAGTAAACGTTTTCTACTTGTCATCCTTTTCTTATTCGATAGAATCTTTTTACCCTTTGACGCATAGCCGAAATATCTTTTCGTGAATCTGTAACCAATGTGCGTAGTTTTTTAATTTCCTCTCGCTCACGAACACTTTCTGGTCCTTCAATTGCACGGCGGGCTTGCACTTCTTGGACCTATTTTTCCATCGAATAATTATGAAATATCGATCAAGTCAAAGTAGCTTACCGCTTGTGTCACTTTTATACGGTACCACGATTCCAATTCATTACGTTGTTGATTATTAAGCTGTTCATATTCTTCTCTGATGTCTCGAATTGCATTGGATAACTCATGTTTAAAGAAATTTGATGGATCTAAAGCTGTTCCAATAAGATTCGCATGTTTTAATTCTTCAATTTCTTGAGCATGAATTTGTTTTAGAAAATTAATTTCTTCTTCCAGACTCTGTTTTTCATTTTCTAATTGCACACGTGCAATTGTTTCCTGATCCAGATCTTGCGTGACACGTTGAATGTCTAAGATGAGCTTCTGAGACTCAGCACGGAAACGTTTTTGTTCATCTTCCAAATCAGCTAAAAGAGCATCAGAGCGTGATATTTCGATATTCAATGCTCAATTGATTTACCTATACGACGACGGAATAGATTAAGATCTGCTTCGTTGTCGGCGAGTTGTTTTTGTAATGCTTCTATTTTTTGTCGATCGGCATCTCTTCCGGCTAATAGTGTTTCGTATCTAAATCGGTTCCAGTGAATAGTTTCTTAAGAGAAAAGTCGAGTGTCTGTCATACTTGTCCTTATATTTTAATGTTTCTTCTTCGGCACGTTTGGCACGAAGTTCGGCTGTTGCTCGATCTTTGGAAGTTTCATCAATAATACGACGCGCTTCACGTATTTCCACTTCATACATTTCCTTAACTTTACCCGTTTCCGAACCCCATTTTCCTCTGATGAAAGTGTTGATATATTAGAACACTGATGAGTACTCGAAATGAAATTTACCGTAAATGTTCCAATTCAAGTTGAAGTTTCTTATTGAGTGCTTCCAAATATCGTACACGCTCAATGTAGGATGCAAAACGATCATTAAGATGACTTAATTCTCGTTTTTCACGTTCACGGTTTTCTCTTCAAAGGAACAAAAATACATATTTTAATTTCTTTTGCTTCATTCATATACTCATGAGGAATAACTCAACTCAGTATTTCTTGACAATTAGAAAAGAACAAACACCTAGGCGATCTCGAGAGATGAAAACACGCTTAGATGGAGACTTCAGCTGATCCCCTGTGTAAGTCTTCCATTAGAAGTTTAAATACAGCCTTCGTGTAATATTTAGATTATGACGAAGAACAAACAATCCATAAATCACCATCCATCAAATTAATCTGACTAAAATGAGATTTTTTTTATAGAAACAACATGTTTATATCATAGTTTATCTGACTATCATCCTCACGACAGTAGCTTTGTTTTTGTTTATGATACTAGTTGTTAAATAACATTTCGGACATCTATACTGAGTGATGCTCGTAGTGATGTCGGCAGCATCTAACATCAGTCTAACATGTGGTGTCACGCACAGTTGGACTTTCTCTCTCATACTATCACCGATCGAATTACATTCTTGTGAGAAGAAGGCGGGTATCATTCTTTCTAGTCACTAATCAAAGTAGCTAATCAGAGAACAAACACACGTACATATCTGTGATTAATCGATTCACTTGATGTAATATGGTACGAGAGAATTCGAACAGAATAAGAAGCAGAGATTTTGATTGTTCAACTTACTGAATAGCGACGACAGCCGCCGATTTGCCACCTGGCTTAAGTGGAACACCAGGACCTGTACCGTAGGAATAGAATCGTTCCATGATAATGTTGTTTGATGATGGTACAACTCGATTTGTTGTAATATTCGTAGGACGCGGAGCTATTTGTGAACGATAATGAGTCGTTTCTTCTTCTTCTATGCGATGTTGTTGAGATGAAGATGAAGAAGGATCACGACGTTGATCTCGTTCATCACGATCTCCTCCACTACGTCGATTATTCGATCCATCACGATCTGAATCTCGATAATTACCACGATTATCCATTGGTTGAAGAAATTTTGGCGAAACTAAAATAATCAGATAGCAAGTAAAAAAAGATCTCCACCTGTGTACAATGATATTTATTTTATAATAGAATTTCCCTCATAAATAATTCTACTTGCCTTCTTTCCCTCGGAAAGTATGTAACGGAGAACAAATATATAAATAATAAGCGTTCGGTGGAGGAAATGTGTGTGCAGACTTCGATCTTTAGAAAAAAATAATAAATGCTAACGTCGAAACGGACCTTTCTTTAGGGAACAAAACTATAAGTTTTTTTTTTCTTCTTTTTTTTTTTGTTTGAAAACCACAATAACCAGCACTAGACACTGGAGAAGATCAGAGACACAAATCGAGAAGAAAATAGCAAGCTGTTTTTCCTGACTCTCATTTTCCTTTCTCTCTTACTGTGCTACAGAGACGAGTAATAATAACTCTTTTCTGCGTTTACGTCTTTTCCTCTCCTCGGTTTCTGCTACTTGTTCCTGTGAACAAAATATGCAAAGCCCATCCTCTGCGGCAGTAACCGCGGTAAAAGTGGCATTTCCATCTTCTTCGCATTTTCTCGACTTCTCTGCTTTTCACTAGCAAAAAAAGAAAGAAACTGGTTCAAACTTCCTCTTATTCACTTCGATAGTAAAAAAATAAAAAGAAAAAAAAATTGTGTTTTTTCTTGCTTTCATTACTCTTTTCTCTTACTCTGTCTCTCTCTCTCTCTCTCTCTCTCTCTCTCTCTCACTGCCGTATCCTCTTCCCTTAATAACAAAGAGAATCGAAGAGATGTGGTAATTTCATCTGTGATGCATCCTTTCCCTTTCTCTCTATCTTTCGATTGCGTGATGATGTACCACAGTGCGTAAAGATCAGTGGTATGTCTATTTGTATGATGTGCACTAGCCATCATCATTCAATAACAAATAGAAGCAAATTTTATGCAACGATCTGTAATAATAAAATTATTCCTAAATGAATTCGTAGGCGTACAGAGATATGTACATAGACGGAAAGTAATGAACGGATTATTTGAATATTCGATCTACAGAAGAGGAAAAATAGGAAAGAGGGAAAAAAGGAAAATTTGTAATAGAAAAGACCCAGGGAATGAATAACTCTATTCGGTTAGTTAGAGCAAGACCAATTGAATCTCGAATGCTAAATAGGACAACAGCAAAAAGAAACGAGGAAAAGAAACTTTACAGTGACATATATCTATGAATAAATGATGAGAATGCGTATTTCATTTAAGCAAGAAAGCAATCACATTGCACAGGCATTGAATGATTTCTGTCTATGGATAGAAAATCGCTTGGTGATTGAAAGCTTTTCTTCACTCAACATACAAAGAGAGAGAGAGAGGGATAGAGGGAAGACTTTGGCATATCAACTATTTTCCTAACAGTTCCCGATTGACTTTCGATTGATGACAGAAGATCATGATGACAGATACATATAAACTGATTGTACCTATATGTATGCACTAACTATGATATACAAGTTGTCTTGTCGCATATAGTAAACTCCGGAGAAAAAAAAACAAACACCTGCTATTCAATCTTCTCACTATCCAATTACTTATTTGAATTAAATTCTAGCAGACGTCATTCAGATGTGTTCGAACATGCCATAAGATCATTAAGACAACGAAAGAGCATCATTTGTAAATATATTATTTGAGATAATAAACTATTTCCCGAGTGTGAAGACACTGGACTGAATAGACGACCTTCTACTAAAAACATATCCATGACATAAGTCTCCTGATAAGCAAGTCATTGATGGAATATTTTAATATTTGTTTATTTATCATTCCTCCAATGATAGAGGCATTAAAAGAACAACTCGCTCAATAGTATTCAACAAGAACTAATTATCAATTTGCATGTATGCATATATTAATTCTCAGGAACAAAATCAGTATTCTCATTATATTTAGATTATAGACATATATCGATAGACGAATTCATAAATATTTCCTCTGCAAGTTTCTGTCTGGATATAAATATATCCTTGCCTATAATAATCTTTATTATAGAGACTGTTCGTACGACATACCGTAAGGCAATACGTGCTACCAGTAGAGACGTACACCAATCGATCTTTGTTAATGGGTGGGGAAGCTAGCTGTTTTTTCTGCTGCTAGACATAACTTTTTTTTAATACACTGACGATTACACTAGTGGAAGATACGAGTTCGTAGCACAAAGAGAGAGGGAAAGGATGTAGAGAGGTTATTCCTCTTTTTTCCTCAAATACTAGCGATTAACATGTCGAAAGAAAAATCTTTTCTCTCCCCTTAGCATCCATTATCATCATTTTCGCCTTCTACCGTTCTTTCCTCAGCTATCGATCGTATATTTTTGTTTGTTCTATCTCCAACGGCAAATGAATAGAGTTGTATGTCTTCAACCCGACAACGTCAGATACTCAAAATGGTGTCACTCACAATTATCCTCATGAAAGGTTGACAGAATAACAAGAATATGTGTCAAATGAGAAAACACATTACACCAAGGCAGGAAGGTTAAGATAAGGCTATTATTTTCAGCGATAGTTCACTTTTGAATCAAACGCCTAGTTTATGCGCGAAACAAAAAATGATATTTCGATCTTGAGACTTTTTTTCTCTTTGTTCTTTTAGTCTGCTTATTCCAAAGGCGCACGAAGTATTTGACAACAATTGTCTCATTAGCATCAGCATTTTTTTCTTGGACGATGTCATTTCCTGATTGATAGAAAAAAACCGAAGAAGTGTGTCTATATACTTGACGCAACGTCGTCAGCATTCAAGTATGTAAGAATAATGGCAAAAAACTACCAATCGGAAGATACGAATCGAAGCACGTACTTGCTGCTAATGAAATCTTTCACTATGAAATGATCATTACAAACTGCAGTTAGCAAACATCTACTTGACTAGTGAATTTAATCAAATGAACATCGTTTCTCTTCACTAACAAAGTGTTTGTGTGACAAGGCGCCTAAGTTACCTCCAATATTTCTAATAGAAACTAGGGAGGAATTATTTATATCCATTTCTAGTCTGTTTTATTTCAGGAAATTACAACCATATCCTGAGTAGTCAGATTAACATGTATGGATGTATTTCAACATTCGTAACTAACTAAACAAATTGCTGTTTGTATTTCTATTCAATAAAAAGAATTAGTAACTGTTATGATTTCACGTCATTTAGTTAATACAATGCAAATCAATGTGAGAAAAGTCGAGTTCTTTATGCTGAAATGAAAATAGGGTAGTTTCAATGAATGTCAATTATTGCCATAATATCTCTCTCATAACTCAAACGCCGCAGGCATTTTTCTTCTAAGTAAAGATTTAATCGAAAGAATGAAAGGAGAAGCAACGGCATTGACCTATACAAAAATCAATAACGTAAGCGTTAGAAGTGTTTGATAACTTTAGTTTGTCAATGTCATAAAAACAGTTAAGAAGGAGCATGCGGCGAGTAGAGAAATTCTAATTATCAATCGTTCTCTCATTTTCCACGCAGACAAAAACCATACTATTCTTGGCTCTTACATTAATCATGTCGAATAACTGAGATTTACCGTATGAATTGCTTAACTTTTCTCCGGCCAATAATATCGCCGCCATCGTTCCGTAAAACCAACATCTTATGTCATTGTTACTTCAGGCTCCGACAAAGAAACCTATTAGCATAAGTAACATTCTACTCGCTTCGTTGATCTATCGTTCAGCAAATCAGAAAACTAACAAACCTATCCTTCTTATCTCCATTCAATAGAAAAATTTCAATTGCATCTAGATGATCATATAAATATCCTTCACCATTAGTTTAGAATTTGTGTCAACCATTGCAATCAATAGTCCATAGCCCAAGCAAAAAATCATATCTATCTTTCTCCTCTTTCAACATATACATATATATTGCTAAAAGGTAAACCTGAACACCAAAAACATATGTTCTTTCTGAAATGACATAAAACTTATCTAACTCTCCTTAATAAACACGTACAAACATAGAGAGAGACATAAACTTGATTAAAAATGATGATTATGGGAAAAGTCTTTTTTTTTGTTGAATTTTTGTGATTTTTTGTATTTTGATTCAAAATTTCGCTCTTCAGCTATCTAATTTGATGATGTATATTCGCGACGGGACGTTGTTTGCGAATATGAAGCACCTCCGCTACCACGGCCAGGGCCAGTAACTAAACTGCTAATTCCAGCATTGCTTGTTCCTGATCCGCTGCTGCTGATAAATGTTCGTTGGATCGTGGTTGATCGACCACCACCGCCTGAATAGGAGATGGAACCAGCAACACCCGAACCTCCTGTAGCGCGTTCAGCTTCCATACGGCGTGCTTCTTCGACGACATGGTCAACAATTTGTTTCAAACCTTCGCGATTATTTGTTCCTTCTAATAATTCTCGGTAGGTGTTGATTTCTTTTTCTAATGATGTCTTCATGTTTGTCACTTCTTCGTATTCCTTTTGTAATTGTTCTAATTTACGACGTAATTCTTCGATTTCAGCAGCACGTTTTTGGACAACGCGACCACCTGAAATCCGAACAGATGAATAAAAATGATCAAAATCACAATATACATACCCTCATCACGTTCTTGATCGATATGTAATTGAAGTTCCCGAATACGATTGTTCAATTCTTCATTTCGAGCTTTCATGTGTGCAACTTCATTACGTGTTGTCAATAGTGTTGTTCGTAGTTTCTCTTCTTGTACGCGTTGTTGTTCACTTTGAATTGGATCAAGATCTGGTTTTTGATGACGAAGAATCAATTCATTGTATGACATCATGTAGCGATTGTGTAGATCGGCACGTTGTTGATCATTCAAAGCTTCAAATTCATTACGGATATCACGAATAGCTTGAGCTAATTCGTTGCGGAAGAAGTGTGATGGATCCAAATTGACATCGACAACGGTCTTCGAACGTAATTCATTCAAATCAGCTTCATCTAAAAGACAAAATCATCACTATTTTGTTATTTGAAAAGGAAACGAGATTTTCTTACGCATTTGTTTGAGCATGGCGAGTTCATCTTCGAGCGCCATCTTTTCTGTATCGAGTGAACTTTTAACAAATGTTTCATTTTGAATTTCATTTTGTAAACGAGCGATTTCCGAAGCTAGACGTTGTGTTTCGGCTTTGTAGCGGCGTGCTTCATCTTCGAGATCTCCTAAACGACGTCGAAATAAGTTGATTTGAGCTTCATTTTCAGCAATTTGTTGTTGAAGACGGTCGATTGCTGATCGGTCGGTTTCACGGCTGTTTAAGATTTCTTCGTATCTTTTACGATAACGACCTGAAACAGAGAGGAAATATGAGACATGAATGTAAAACGAGAAACAAATATCTGGGAATTTACCAGCTTCTTTTTCTGCATCACGAGCTTTGACTTCAGCAGCAGCTCGGTCACGTGTGGTATCATCGATGAGTTTCTTTGCTTCATTCATTTCAACTTCATACATTTCCTTGATCTTGGATGAACCTTGACCAGCTTTGTTTTGTAAAGCTTCCAATTCCAATTGTAATTTACGATTTTGTGCTTCGAGAAATCGCACCTTTTCAACGTATTGAGCGAATTTGTCGTTTAATTGACATAATTCACGTTTTTCACGTTCACGTGTTTCATTAACGGCAACTAAAGCTGACGAACCACGGTTTGGCCGTAATGGTATGCCAGAAAAGTTTCCGAGACCAGCAATGGATGCTAAGCCAGAAATTCCAGCGCCAATACCGCCTGCATTGAATCCGCCACTACCACCGGTAGTCGAATAGGATTGATACATGCGTGTCATGATTCCTGATGGGGCACCTGAACGACGTTGAACATTTGTTGAACGTGGTGTGATTTGTGATTTGTATGAACTGTATGAAGCTGAGCCACCTTTGGTGAATTCGTCATCGTATCCTTGCATTTTGCTGTTGTTGTTTACTGTTTCGACGGTAAAATCTGAAGCTCAATAGTATTTGGTATTNCCAAATTGACATCGACAACGGTCTTCGAACGTAATTCATTCAAATCAGCTTCATCTAAACGACAAAATGATCGCTATTTTGTTATTTGAGAAGAAAACGAGATTTTCTTACGCATTTGTTTGAGCATGGCGAGTTCATCTTCGAGCGCCATCTTTTCTGTATCGAGTGAACTTTTAACAAATGTTTCATTTTGAATTTCATTTTGTAAACGAGCAATTTCCGAAGCCAGACGTTGTGTTTCGGCTTTGTAGCGACGTGCTTCGTCTTCGAGATCTCCTAAACGACGTCGAAATAAGTTGATTTGAGCTTCATTTTCAGCAATTTGCTGTTGAAGACGGTCGATTGCTGATCGGTCGGTTTCACGGCTGTTTAAGATTTCTTCGTATCTTTTACGATAACGACCTGAAACAGAGAGGAAATATGAGACATGAATGTAAAACGAGAAAGACATGTATGCGAATTTACCAGCTTCTTTTTCTGCATCACGAGCTTTGACTTCAGCAGCAGCTCGATCACGCGTGGTGTCATCGATGAGTTTCTTTGCTTCATTCATTTCAACTTCATACATTTCCTTGATTTTGGATGAACCTTGGCCAGCTTTGTTTTGTAAAGCTTCTAATTCCAATTGTAATTTACGATTTTGTGCTTCGAGAAATCGCACCTTTTCAACGTATTGAGCGAATTTGTCGTTTAATTGACATAATTCACGTTTTTCACGTTCACGTGTTTCATTGACGGCAACTAAGGCTGACGAACCACGGTTTGGCCGTAATGGTATGCCAGAAAAGTTTCCGAGACCAGCAATGGATGCTAAGCCTGAAATTCCAGCGCCAATACCGCCTGCATTGAATCCGCCGCTACCACCGGTAGTCGAATAGGATTGATACATGCGTGTCATGATTCCTGATGGGGCACCTGAACGACGTTGAACATTTGTTGAACGTGGTGTGATTTGTGATTTGTATGAACTGTATGAAGCTGAGCCACCTTTGGTGAATTCATCATCGTATCCTTGCATTTTGCTGTTGTTGTTGTTTACTGTTTCGACGGTAAAATCTGAAGCTCAATAGTATTTGGTATTGGATATTCACCGAAAAAAAAACCTAGACTTATACGCACACACGCACAAACGAGAAAAAGAAGAAAAATGAATGCACAAGATGGGGAGAAATGACCCTTTTATTCGAGCAGTCGGTTAGTGTTTTTTCTCTCTCTTTCTCTTGCGTTCTATAAACTATATGATTCGAGGAAAAAGAAGAGGCGAACAAACCGCTACCATGCAAATAAGTTCTATCGCATCGTGTTTGCGCGCGCGTTCTTATTTAGTCGACAGTGCTTGCTGTCGAGTATATACGGGCATGAATGTAATTATATTTTTCCTTATTCGTTAGTTTGACTGCAGAAGAAGAAGAAGAAGAAGAAGAAGAAGAAGGAAAAGTGAGATCAATGTTTTACTTTCGTTCTCTCCTTGTTAGTTTACCGTCTATTAGCCTATGATTCATTGCTAGCCTAGAAGCATACCACAAATAACTTTAAAAATTGTTCGAGTAGCAACGAAGCGAGACACGCCGAACAGAATAATTTTGCAAAAGAAAGAGAGGGAGAGACAGAATTGTTACTTCTCTTTCTCGCTACACAATTGTCCGATGTGTCCGATTCGTACAAATAAATCCGCCCATGCATAGTTTAACGTCAAGCTGGAGACACATACAATCAACTAATAGCATACAGTCATTTTCGCTTTGCTTTCTCATATATTTAAAAGATTTGATCTCCATATCGCATTTACATATGCACACATACATGTACGTGAACGTGATATTGTCAATAGATTCAGCTCAAATGACAGCGTATCATTATCGATGAAAAGAATAAAATTCCCCTAAGGTAACGTTTTTCGATATTGTATTCAAATGGCGACTACATACATATAGAGATATTTATGTATATCGAGCAAGAACAAAAGAAGATTAATCGAAGAGAAAAGCTTTTAATCTACAAAATATTGTCTTGTTTGTGATCGATGATATTTTCTTGTTATTTTTTTCTTAACGATGTGGTGAAACGTTACGTGAAGTTGAAGGAGATCGACCACTAAGACCACCTACAGATGAATATGATGTTGAATAAGTCACTTCACGAACGTTATGAGAACTACTTGGACCTGAAGTATTTCTCATCAGACGTAAATTAAGAGAATCGAGCAATGATCGACCACGATTCATGATTTTTTCGGCTTCTTCGGCAAAATGTCGTAAGCCGACTTGATTATTACCACCTTCCAATAACAATCGATATCGGCGGATTTCTTCTTCCAACGTTGTACGATATTTTTCTAAATCATTTATATAACCTTTTATACGATCGATTTCTTCACGATAACGTCGTTGTTCATCGACAAGACGTTGATCTTCGTGATAGTTAGTAGATTGTATTTGTTGACGTATATCAGATATTTGTCGATCGAGATCTTGATTTTCCATTTGTAGTGCACTAACACGACCACGTATATCGGATATGCTTCGAGTAATTTCTCGTATCTTTTCAGTTTGCCATTGCGATTCAGCAGGTTCTTTTGGTTGATGGTATTCAATCAGTGCACTGACTTTTGCCTGGTAATAATTCTGTAGTTGTTGCTGCTGTTGATCGGTAATGTTTTCGAATTGCTTACGGATTTCACGTATAGCTGATGTTAATTCACTTTCAAAGAATGGTGCTGGATCAACATTCGCAATCGCGACTTTTGAACGAAGTTGTTCGACATCGAATTTATGTGCAGTATCTAAGGCTTTCAATTCCTGTTCAAGAACGGTCTTTTCGGCCATTAGTAATTGCTTCTGTGTTGCTTCGTTGGCAATCTCTGAAATGAGATTGGCAACATCAGTGCGAATGCGTTGTAACTCAGCATTGTATAAGGCAATTTCATCGTCATTGTCAGCAATCGTCTTTCGAATTAAGTCGATTTTTTTTTCGAGATCAATGATTTTTTCACGCAGCTGTTTTAATTGACCTTTAGCAGCGTTGATTTGATCTGGTCGTTGAGCAGTCAGTAAACGTTGCTCGGCTTGTTTCAGACGCGCTTCTGCTTCTTGTCGTTTACCTTGTCCTGAACGAACATCGTCTTCCATTCGTTTCAGAGTTTCTTCAGCTTCCTTTTTTTCTCGTGTTATGATTTCACGTATACGTTGTAAACCAATACCTTTCTTATTTCGGATATTATCCAAATCACGACTAAGCTTTCGATTGACTGCTTCCAGGTAACGGATTTTACCAATGTATTCAGCAAATCGATCATTCAGCTCAGCTAGTTGGCGTTTTTCTTCGGCACGTTGACTAGTAAATGGAATGAGTGCCCATGCACCCGCACCACCACTACCACCACCAGCAGTGCTACTTCGTAGCGGTAAGGCACTGCTTGACATTGAATGAGATACGCTCATTTTCGATGTGACATGACGACTACCACCGCCCAGATTCTTAACTGGCCGAGTGATGATCACTTGTCGTGGAGTGATGGCCGACATATAACCAACAGCTGTACCAACCGATCCATAAGTATCAAAAGTCGTACTTGTACGTGGATCTGCGGTGTACAATTCTTCGCGCTGCACATCATAGATAGTTGGCATTGTGGATAACGCAAGAGACGAAAAATCGAAGCGACTTTCACTCGATTGAAATGTATATGACACAGAAAATGAGTGTCAAAGGACTTCTTATATACGCGAAAGAGCAAGAGGTGACAAAGAGTACATGTGTGTGTATATGTAACAGACTCATCGATTCAATTTCTCATAAGTACAAATACATTCCACGTTAATCGCCTATTACATATTCTTGCGGTTTCTTTCACATGTTCATTCATTCTCGAAAAGAAGTAACTTTCTATAGCTCTATTTAAAACAACAATACAGACACCCAAGCTCCTACTACCGCCCCCGGATAACCTCATGCAACACAGTCAAGGCCCACAAATCAATAAAGCTTGAATAGAGTACGCATACACGCAAGCGCAAAACCGTATTTCATTAGCCTACCTGATTCAGCTATTGAAAGTGGCCAAGATAGAGAACTCGATTGTAATGACGCCGGCTCGGAATCTATGAAAAGAATATTATTAACATCAGTTGCGGTAATCACTAAACCATTCTGTTCTTCGAGTTTTCTTCTCAACAGAATAGACGGACAAAATGAAAATAAATCTCTACTTACTTGGCTGCACTGGAATGTCTGCTTTGGTGACGGTTATTTGTACATTGTTGCGAGCATTTATCCATAATGAGTCGAATGATGATTTGTATTCTTCGTAGGTTTGATGTGGTTTACTATCATCGATCGCGATAATTTCATCTCCAATGGACAGATTTGGACAATAGTTTCCATCAAGAATCGATGAAATTTTGATTTTACCATCGTCTACTTCTTCGAAATCGAAACCGTATTTTCCTACGTGATCAGCTTGTCGCGTCACAAGAACTGTCGAGTAAACTTCTTCGACATCATCCGCTTTTGATCCTTTTTGATTACCATTGTCGATAACACGTTCAATGGTTGTGATTAATTCTTCGCTCATTGTATCACTCACAGGTGATAAATTTTGTTCCCTTTGTTCGTACAATTGCTTTTCAAATTGATTAATGTCGTCATCGAATTGCTTAGCTGTTGTGCGGTATTGCTGGAAGTTTGTTGTATAATGATGGCACAATTCTTCGAATTTTTCGACAATATCATCTGTCCCCGGTTCAGTCGTTGTTCGACGATAGCCGTATTCTTCGTAGATTTCTTCATCGTAGGTTGGAGCATGTAGAACATGAAATTCGATTTGATTTTCATTTGGACGAAACTGATGGTAATTCGAACTTGTTAGGAGAGAATCACTAACGATTTGAGAAAGATTATTAACAGTTGGAGGAGGTGGATGTGGAGTTGGTTGATTTACAGGGAACTGGTGTAGGGGCATGGAGGATTCAATTTCATAGACGAGTGTTTCGGATGTGTGTGTATCGTCCGGTACTTGGTCGATTTGTTTTTCGATAGCTGGAGGAGGAGATTCTTTCAAAATTTCATATTCGATTGTATCGTCATTGGTTTCTTCTTCCATGGGATAATCAAAATGATATGGTTCAGGCGGCGGATTTTCTATCGATTTCTTGTATTCGATATTGGACTCGTCTTGTTCAGGAATATCTTCGGATGGAGTTTTACAAATTGGTTCATTTTCAACAGATTGTGGAATTTCATTTGGAATTGTTTCGGAATTGAATAATTCGATTGGACTTTCAGTTTCATCGGATTTCTCCATGAGAGTTGGCGAAGCTTCGTGTATAACTGTTTCTACATTGTCACTATCAGAAATCATCTCATTGATAGTTTCAGACTCTGCTTTGGGAACAACTTCAAAGTTGATAAAATCCGTTGGTTGCGCTTCACTCGGCGGACTTTGATTTACCGAGCTTTCAATATGATTATCGTCTGTGGGAACCTCTTCCGGTTGAGTTTTAGGAATATCTTGATCCGCAGTCTTAATTCGTATAGGCTGCTGCGATCGAGCAGCTAACGACTCATGAATAATAGTTCCCAAATTATCTGTATTAACTATTGAGTCATTATCACTGGATTCAGATAGTTGCGCTGAATAAACTTCCGTCTCGAACGGATCAGTTGGTATCATGGTATTGGGCTTCTGATATGGGCCTTCCAACGCTTCAGCGACAATGGCGTCTAATCTATCTCTATCGACAGCAAACTGATCGAATGAGTTAGGTAATTCTTCAGTGAAAACTTCAAAATCGAACGGACGAGGCGTTTTCATTTTGATTGGCTTTTGAAATCTTGCTGCTAAAGCTTCGTGTATTATTGTTCCCAAATTGTCTGTCTCAATTGTTGGTTCGCTTATATCATCATCGATATCGGTGACAGACAATGCTTCGCTAACAACTTGTACTAAATTATCAATATTGACGATTGTTTCTTGTATTTCATTGAATTCAATAGGTTTTTGGTATTTGGCAGTGAGACTTTCATGCACAGTCGTATCTAAATTATCGGTGTTCGCGTGTTCATCAGAGTCGCCTATTAAATTATCATAAGACCATTCATCTGAATCGTTTATAACTTGTCTTGGTTCATCTTCAGTCGGTGTAAGTGTCTCATCATAAATAATCAATAAATTATTCACACGAGATGGCGCTTCATCGATCGACTGGACAATTTCGACAAGATTATCAATCGGCGGCTTCGTTGTTTGCTCATCAAGATTATCATAGATGAAAGCATGATTATCCATCGTATTCGATATTCCAGCTTGATTACATCGATTAATATCTTCCACAATAGTAACTAATTGATCAATATTAAGCAATGATTCTTCATCGTCTGAAATCACACGTGCTTGATGTTCATCAAGTTCGTTGACAATCTGATGATTTGTTCGACTGTATGTTTCAATTTGTTCCAATAAATCTGTTAGATTTTCAATCATAACATTGGAGTTTTCACTCGCTGTTGATACTTGTCGATTCGTGTGCGAAGGCGATGGTAATGCATCATAATAGAAACTATCTTCTGGTGTTGTTACACTGTTTACTAAATCGTCGCGAACATGATATTGTTGAAAATTACTACCAGTGGTGTCATCACTTCCGAGCGACAACGATGATTGATGACCATTATCAACACGAGATTCTTTTGCTGTATGATAAGATACTGTTGTTCCATCATCTAAATCAATTAAACTATCAGTTTCGATAATTTGCGATGTTCCAGGCGGTGATGGAAACATATCCATATCCACTTTCGCCGTTATTGTTGGACTGTCCGTTGGAGTTATCTAATAAAAGAGATAATTAAATATTTAATAATAATAATAATCGAAGTGTATACACGACCGATTGAGATCAATGTGAATGAATTCTATTCGAAATGAGTGTAGACGAAACAGTAGACGTTTTTTACTTCTGGCTCTCTGAACAATATGTACATGTTCCGTCGTTCATACACAGAAGACGAAAAGAAGGTTATGTCATGCATATGGCATTATGATAAATAAGAAAGCAAATGAATTGATCAAGCATATTTAACAGAAGAAAAACATCGATAATGTAAAATAGAATTTCGTTTTGTGATTGGGAAGTGTCAATTAACAAAAGCTTAGAAATAGTTTTGTTTTTCTTTAATCACATTAATCAAACAAACGGCTTCATAGAAATGGTTTACATTTATGCTCTATGATATAACATTTGCAATTTCCGTAAGAGAAAGGTGATAATCAATTTATCTTCTGTTTAAAAACGAAATGAGAAATAGAAAAGCTCACATACGTTTTGCATTGTCGAAGCTGATTCTTCCAGATCATCATTATCAGTGTGTTGCCATGATGAATCTCGAATATAATGATCAGTTGATGGTAAACTATAACCATGTCGCATGTAAGGTTCTAAGTACATTCCGCATGAACCTGGTGTTGACGGCGATGTTTCGAATGCTATTTGAATAGAATCGGGCGATGAAGATATTGTGTCAACCAAATGCACCTGTCGACGGATAGATCGGCGACTATTTCGACTCGAAAACGTATTGCTTGATGGATGAAATTGAACTTGTTCGGTAGTTGTCAAGACTGTCGGTCGAGGGTGGCTATTCGTTGGTGTAATAGCTAGTTGTTTGAGATTCAACTGTGTATCTAATAATAATGCTGACGAATCCAACACTGGCTGCAAATCTTTTTCTGTAGGTGATAAATATATTTCGTTATTATGTGCCCATTCATTGACTTTAGCACTTGCATTAATCATGGCTTGATATAAATTATCTACAGGTGCAGCTGCTTTGGTTTGTGGAGAATTCATTCCTGAAGATAAATACGCAGCCATTAGTAATGCTTCATCATCGTCCGATGATTTCTCCAAACGAAACTTTGGTAATGGACATTCCTCAATTTTTTTCGCCTTTGTCGGTGATGCTAATTTCCATTGGGGTTTTTCGTTCCAAGAATGAATAGTGTATTCATCTTCTTGTAAACGACGTGTTTTCTTGTCCAATTCGCCGTAAAGTTCGCGAATTTGATCGCGCGAATACATTGGCATCGATGATGGAATAGCCGGTGTATTTGCCGCTTCATAGGCAATTTCACGGCCACGAAGGATCATTGCTGCTTTGTCATCATCGTTGGCATCTACTTTAACTGCTTGACGGCGATAGATAAAACAGGCATCCGTCACAGTTTGAGTCGGTTGTTGACGTTTGGCAGGACGATGTCTATTCACTATTTCAGTTGTATAACTTAACGAACAAAATATTTTTTTCAATGAAATGAATCTCACGATATAAACTTACCCTGTACCAGTTGATTTGACTTTTTTCTCTTCCAATGATGTTGTTTTCGTAATTGATTGCTGAAGTGAATCGAGCGATTTATGGGTATCCATTGATTCATCTTCACTTTTTTCTAATGAAAGTTTACTTCGATGTTTGTGGTGATTTGACAAAGCACTTCGATCAGTAAGTACAGATGTATTCGTACCTAAACACTTATCATAGAGTTCACCTCTAACAAATCGTATCCTACCATCGGTTTCAACAAATCCACTGTCTCGAGCGGGACTGGTACTACGTTTGTAGACCAATGGTTTACTATGCCGTTCTTGAATATGTTTTGTTCGATTAACGATACTTTGCTTCGAATCGGAATTCGATAGAATATCATCGATAATGATCAACGATTTCCGACTTTCATTAAATGAGGATGTTGACCGTCGATCATCAATAGATAATTTCCGAAATTCATTGAATGTCAATGAACCCAAATGTCGAACGGTTGTATTATTTAATAAAGATCGATCCGTACAACGGCATAATCCAATACGTATGGATTTATTCTGTCGTCGTAACGATGTAAATTCTGTTTTAATTTGATCATACGTAATCGTTATGGGTAGTTTCAGAAGATTCTTTTCATTGAGAAATACTAGAATATCTCCTAGAAAAAAAACAATTTTGCTCTTTAGTGAATCTAATTGTTTGTGAAGTGTTTAGTTTATTCTTGAACTTCAACTTTGTAATCGATTCAAAATGTCAAGCACTATCGAGTTTTATATGATCAATATTTTAACAGATGTTGTCAATATGAGAAGCTGAGGAGTTTAGATCGTAATCACGACAATGTGTCAATGACCTATTGAGCGAACAAGAAAAATAATGTTCGCTGCGTGATACTAAAAATATATCTTTCGCATTCGATTTTCTTTTTGTAGTAAAAGACAATCTTAACTTTGCCTTGATCGAAGCGAATCTAATTGAATTAATATCTGATGCATCTGGTTCCTTTTCTAGAATCTGACTCGATTATAGATGCAAATCAAATGAACAATGCCTGCATTTGATCAATAACAATACTAAATATTGATCTATTTGACCTTAATTTCAAGGCGCATAGTTCTCAGAAGAGATCTGTGAAGAAAAGAAAGCAGAAGAAAAAGGAGGAGAAGAAGACTTTTCGTAATGATATGCAAGTCTTTTCAATTGAGTAATCAAACAATAATCAGAAGTCAATAAACAAAATGATCAGTGAAGAAATCAAACTGTTCTTATGAACAACAACAACTAGAAGAATATCACGCATCGATGATAGGCGTATCGACGAGTTGAATGTATTGGCCAAATGTATACAATTCAAATAACTGAATATGATTAAATCCTTTGAATAATAATTCTTTGGGTATGTATAATGTACGTTGCGGTCCTATACTCCAATACCTTCCCAAATTGAATCCATTGATAAACGCGACACCTTTTGTCCATTGAGAATCTAATGATAAGTACGTGTCGGCAATTGAATGTTCATTTTCAATATGAAATGGTGCATAAAATAATTGTGGACCATAATTAAGATCATGAGTATTTGTTGCATTTTTCTCGTCGATCGTCAATCGATTCCAATCAGTAATACTTGACACGCCTTTATGAAACTCTAATGTATGGATTGTCCATGCTTGTAATTCAATTGTGCCATTTAATAATACTTTACTAAGAATACCCTTTCGACTATGGTCAAGTGTAGGACCAAAATTAATACGACCCATATTTTCAACAATGATCGTTAAATTCTTCGTATCCGGTGGGATATTAAATTGAATAGAATTATCTGAGCATAGTGATTTATAAATCACTTTTCCGTTGACTAAAACTAAAGCATTGTCAGCAATCGATTCAATTGTAACTCGTTGTTCGACATGCTTGTCTTCGAAGAATTTCTCCATGTTATTATTTGTGTAGACAATAAAGCCTTGTGATGCTCCGGCATTCGAGTGTGCAGGAATCTTTATTTGTTCCATGTTTAACGGTCCATCGGTAACTTCGCATTTGTTTGTTAGAATGTCATCGTGGAGTATTTGCTCGAGTGTTTTGTAACCATAGATCTTGATTCGGCTGAATGCGGCTTTTTTCGAATCTTTCCGCTCTGTAATTTCGAATTTGTCTTCAGTTATACGGGGATGGTTGTAAACGATTAGTTGTGGATGAAGTTCATAGAACTTTTTGATGACACGTTGAATAACAAAGTATTTATCTGTTCGATCACCAGATTCATTCAATGGTGCATCGTAATCGTAGGAAGTCACTAATGGAGAATATTTTTTGGAAGGAAAATGATGTCCACCTGATGTAAAACCAAAATTTGTTCCACCGAAGAACATATAAAAATTAATGGATATTTCGTATTTGGAATTCAATAAAATATCTTCGAGATCTTTTTCGAATTCGTCTGCAGAATAGGTACCTGATGAACCTGTTTGATGTCGTCCACCCCAATAATCAAACCATCCCGTCCAATATTCACTAATCATCAAATGATTATGTGAACGAAAGGCGATTAATTGTTCGATGTTTTCTTTGACATGACGTTGAAAATTGATGGTTGCCCAAACGTTATCTAAAGTGCCACGTGTAAGTTCTCTGGCACCGTCGGATGTGAAGAACAATTCATCCAAACCGTATTCTACATACATTGAGCGAATGGCTCGAAGATAATCCTTATCTTCGCCGTAACTTCCATATTCATTTTCGATTTGGAATGCAATTATTGAACCATGACTGTGTCGATTGTATTGATGTTCAGATAGAATTGGTAATAAAACTGAATAATAATTTTTCAATGCATCAACAAAACCGGAATATGTTGAGCGAATACGCATTTGATTGTCCTGGAGTAACCAGCTAGGTAAACCGCCCCATTCATATTCAGCACAGATATAACCTAGAAGAACATGTGTGTTATCATTTGAGATGCTCTTGATGTTTATTTATCTTACCTGATGGACGAACGATCGTAAACATTTCATGTTGATGAACAAGCTTTAAAAAGCTTGATAAATCAGTTAGACCTTCATTAAATTTGAAAACACCTCTTTCGGGCTCGTGTAAGTTCCACGGAATGTATGTTTCAATCGTATTGAGACCAGCTCGTTTCATTTCTTGAATACGATCCGACCAGACTTGTGGTAAAACACGAAAATAGTGCAATGACCCACTTAAAATTCGAAATGGTCGAAGCTTTTCCCGACGTAGATCATTATCTTTGAACAAACGAATAAATAAATGTCTTTCATCGTCGAGCACTAACGTTGGTTGATATTGTTCGGGTAAAATGTGTTTAAGTAACATAAAAAGTAAGATAATCAAGCCGACGAATAATAAAATATGTAAGCATCGTCGATAGTAACGTATATGATAAATACGCATTGCAAACAGTCGTATTGCTAAGGTAAATGTTTTCTTTCTTCGATGTTTATCGTCGAAATTTTCTATGTCATACATTAAGTCTGTTCTTCGTTAATATGTAAACCATTGGAAGTAACCACGTGATAATATATTATCATAACAATTGAATAAAGATGGTAAGATCTATCTTTATTCGGTTGCTGTGTTGATTACTCATAAAAAGCATACGATAGAACACGCAAAGTTTATATTCGCATTTCATCCACACGGACCAGCGATGACAAGCGCACACTTCTATATCCACACACGCATATATATATATATAAAGAAATAATGCTATTACTACTTCTAGTGCAGCTCTGTTCGTTGGGTTGGCTGCCGGTTAAGCGTATTTTTCTTTTATTATTGGAGCCGCGTGTGATGTCGTTCACGAACAAAATGTCAAAAGAAAGGAAGAAAGAAAGAAAGAACGAAGGAGAAAGAAACAGAATGAAGCAACAAGAAGACATTTCTGAATACCCTTGTCGGTAATAAACAGTCACTGAATCACATCATGTTATCTGCTCCAATGATAAACATTCAGTTGACAAAGAGATAGACAACAATGGCTAAAAAATCATCCTAATCGAGTTCTTTCTTTCTCTATTAATCTCCGAACAAAAAGAAACAATATGACAGCACAACAATAATGTATCACTTACCATTACGAATTCCAATTGTATGTAGACCATTAGATATCTCGTTAAAAATAATTAAGCGTTTATCATTGGGATCATTTGTTAGACTGAGATTCCGTTTATGACTGAGATCGAAGACATAAAATTCCAACAAATGATTGGGCTCATCTGTTGTTGCACGTGACGATGTATCTGTATTGTTGTTATTGTTATTATTATTGTTATTGTTGTTGTTGTTGTTGTTGTTATTAATATTTCGTTGTTTCTTTCTTGACTGTACATTGCTACTTACACAACTTAAACTGTCGCATGAAAATGAACCTAAACGAATGAAGAATGCACGAATATGATTCCAGAAGAAAAACAGATACCTAAAAATATCTTAGAAGAGAATCCTTGTTGCGACTGCTGCTGCTGCTGCTGATGTTTACTCATTTGCTTCGATAGTATCGAAACGAGTGCGATTTTTTCATGTAAATGATGGTAACTATGAGATTGCTGTTCAGCTTGCTTCATTCCGATCATCTTTTCAATTACTGTCTATTCAATCAAACGTTATTGCCTTTTGTAGCCAAGTTAAAGTTTAAAACAATGACATGATACTAAGCTTCTCATTTTTCTTCTTTATGTACAATAGTGATCTTTACGAATCAGAAGAGAGAAGAAAATAATTATGACGATCGGGCGGGCAAGGTAAACGACAAAAAGAAGAAAAAGATGATGATGATGATGATCAACCGATTTAATCGGAGCGGATCAGTTCTTTCTAGCTTTCGTCTGTAAATGAAGGGTAGTGTTGTTATTATTATTGTTCTTGGCGACTAACGACTATACAAATAGATGTCTCGACAGAGAGAAGTGCACAATCAGCTTCCGGCTCGATGTAAATAATGAAGATCTAATCAGTTTGATGCGTATGCTTTATTTTATCAAACGTATATCAAAAACAAAACATCATATATATGAATCTATCAATTACGAGATGAGTGTATGCGATAGACAAAAAAAAAATTCATTATCAAAACAAGTTTCCTCTCTGATCGAAATCAATCAGATTGATCTCGAGAGTTCTTAATAAACTTCATCATCTAGATAGACATCGAGCACGAAAACATTCTGTTTTCTTTTTCTTTCTAAATGCTCTGCATGAGCATATGTGAAAGGCTCAAATAACGCATTTTCTTTCGATTACATCATGTTCCTCATACATTCCATGGATATTAATTAATTTCATGTGTTCGAACAAAGACAAAAAGAAGAGAAACACGTATCTGCTTACTTTTATCGTCGTTACTGTTCTGAATTTGTTTTTGAAGATAAAGTTGTTGAGCAACACGTTTTCGTGATATCGGCCGTTTTTCTTTGGGATAAAGTTTGGACGAACGTAAACTTCCGCAACAACTCTGACATGATAGACAATCCACCATGGGTACAAAGTGACGTATAGATAGATACAGAAAAGAAGACAAACAATCTGGAGAAAGTGTAAAAAGAACAATATAATGATTGACTAAATGATATTCTCTCTCTCTCTCTAATTTCTAACTTATGATGCAGCGAAAAGAAAAAGTGAAGAGTGTTGATGTTCAGCTTTCATCTTCATAGTTATGTGTGTCTGTCTCGTCAAGTAAAATAAAAAGACAAAAACTCACGAAAAGAACATGCGATAATATTAATAATTTCGCGCTCGTTTTGATCAAGACGAGACGCATACAATGGAGAGAAAAATTATCGAACGACTACGATCAGTGTTGTTATTTTTCAAGCGTAGACGGAGATGTCGCATCGAGTTAAATTGTTTGAATTAGCCCGTGAACAGTTTTGCATAATCAGACATGCATGTACATTTTAAAACATTGTCATCGCATTGTAATAGTTCTCTTTACATGATGATTTTATCGTTATTCGTCGCTGTTCGATCTTACAATCTGTTTATATGAATGAACGTTTCTCGTCGATATTTACTTAAAGTAAAGAAGAATAATAATAAGGAGGAAAAAATGAGATGAGGGCGGGTGTTCACTCATTGTCCAATTCTCATTTATCAACAGAAGATTACACATGTACAAAACGTGTTGAATCAGACCAACTCTTCCATTTCTCTCCCTACTTATGTCTTCTCTTTTGATACATTTGATCTTACCTATCCATAGAAGAGAATTCAATTGAAAAAGAAGTATCTTTTCATTATTTGTAACAATTACATTCATATGATAATCAAATTCCTCGAACTAAAATTGTAACGCTTATGCTAATTTCCATTGATGCGCAGGCTGGGAGGCGGTAGAAAAAATACCGAACAAAAAAGTGTACATTTACCTCATCACTCAATGATCTTTATAATAGTTATTCTACCATTTCTCCTCTGCGTATTTATTACACTTCACACCAGAGTTAAAAACGTCGTTTGTCTTTTCTTCTTCTCTTTATTCACTCGCTTGTATGTTCTCTCTATCCCTTTCGCTGTCTCTCTCTCTCTCTCTCTACTTATATCGATCACTGCTCCGATGTCTGTAAAGCTATAGAAGAGAGGAGTTAAGAGAAAGAAATCATGCACACACATGCAACATACACATATTCACACAAAAGGATGAGCTTTGTACAATTGACCATCTGTCTCGCACACGCATTTTTGCTCGATTGCTAGAAAAGAGAGCAGGATAATTTACAGTTCATCCTCGTGCACTAATGATAACGAAATCTATGTCTATCGAAGAAAAAAAACTGAAGAAGAAGAAATACATCAGGCACGTGCAATCTAAACAAATGAGAAGTTCTACTATAAAGAGAAATTATAACGTTAACATCATATTTGACACACTGATCAATCCCATTCTACCTACATGAATATGCATCGAAGTGAATTAGAACGGACAAAATGCATATTTGTTGTTTTTTTTTGAACTGACATCGATCTTCATTCGTCACAGTTACGCGTTCGAACATTGATCAATTACAAATGTTCAATGACATAGTCATTCAACTCATTTGTTCCGTTCGGTGGAACCGTACAGATGCAAATGACATTGTAAGGATGCCCAGTCATAACATCAGTGATAATAACAAGCGAAAAACTGTAAATGACAAGTATCGATCGTTACTTGTCTAATGAATTTGATCTTCTGATACAAGTATACGACTGACCGATATCGGGCAAATGGCTTCCGTTGCTTTTCTTTCTTGTCTTCTTGTTCTTTTTTCTTTAGAAAGTAATCAAATCTTTCGGTATTCTCTTGATACAAAACTGTCCATTAAAGAGCAGCGAAAAGATGGTATAATGAGTTGTGTCATCGGGCGTTGTTTAACGGTAGTGTCAGCAGCAGCAGCAGCAGCTGGTTTATCGCACAGAATACAAAAAGCGGAAGAAAGGAAAACGAATGTAAAATCCTTGACATTACGTCTCAAATAGGTTCTCACAGGATGTACAATTCTGTCATCCCCAAGGGTGGAAAGTATTAGTTGATCACATACAACACAAAAGACCTGAACGGATTAAATCAAAATGAAACAAGACTATATTAAACAACATCGAATGTATGGTTGTTTAAATACTTACAGAAACGTGAACCCAATGAACGTAGACGAAATGACTGGATTAATTTTTTCATTGTTCGCCAATCGATATGGATTAGGTAAATAAATGAACGAGGAAAACTATTGTAATGTTTTCCTCAGTGAGAAGAAAGACAGAAGACACCGGTCTTCGCAAATGTATTGTTTCGAATAAAAAAATAATAATAATGCACAAAAGAAAAAAGAGAATATTAAAATTCTTTTTCTTCTTGCTAAGGATATCTTTCGTTAAAAGCAACAATGACGACCACAACTGTTATTAACATTTGATCCAAGGTTTTCTATCATGGTACTAAAATAAAAAAAAAGCGCGATGTGACAAAGTTCTACCAGACGGCAACAGTTGTCTAGTGATTAATATTCAAATCACTATTGATGTGCAAATCGATGTTTCCTTCTCTGCAAATTTTACTCCAAGCACTATCGAAATAACTTACTAAAGTAATAACCCGATATACATATCATAATGAAGATCATGTGCAATAACGAAAGAAAACATTATGAATCGGTTGTTATTGATTTTATCTTGATTTCGAAACGTGGATATGCATGCGGCTCTTCTCCCTGTCTCGGGAGGTCATACGAAGACGGAAATTAGTTGACAGGTGAATGCTACCGGAGTCGTTTTGCTTAATCTAATCAATAATGCAACTATTCAGTCGTAATCAGTCCATTCTTTTCTACATGTATTTCTCGTTCCTTCTTTTTTTTTTCATCTTCTCCACATGCACAACATAATAGACAAATAATGAGTCAGTTTCGCTATTCAACGCGAAATGATTGATGATTATCAATTAACTAGAGTTTCATTAGAATCAATATGACTTGGGAATAGAAATAATGAGAAAGAAAACTTGATTAGATCCAGATGATTACATTTTTTTGCTTAGGTTTCAGTAAATATTTAATACATTCGAAATGAATTTATGATGAAATCTCGAGAATAACCGCTTATTGGGTAAGCTGAATTTCATTGGAACATATGTTTGTAATTTTCACGAGAAGACAGGTACCAGATGTCGATCAAGTTGAATTTTCAGCGGATTATTATATATGACGACTTGATTTATCACACTTTCAAAGATAAGATTTCATATGATGTGAACAAAAACAAATTATTTATCGTATTCATCGTGATTCAAAGAGAATAACTTCAAATGATTGATGTGTTCGAGATTCGTTATGGCGAAAAATGTAATTATTTTTCTTTCCTATTAATAATAAGAAAACAAATTTCTACTAGAAAGGTGATCGATAGTTACTATGTGATCTACTAGTATATTTTTACAGTAGGACTAATAAATCTCTTTCATAATTGGCGTCATCGTCCGTATCAGTTAAAGACTTATTTATGATTAAAGAAAGAAAGAAGAAAAAAAAAAGAGAAGGACAAAGATTGATAACTACAAACAGGAATAGACAATCATACAATGAAGACGAAGAAAAAGAAGAGATTCATCACCGGACAAATACACACGAATATGAAGAGATCGAAACTATTGTAGAATATGTCAATATTTAGAAGACAGTACATTTCGTCTGTGGATTCATTTTCGCATTTTCTTTACATTGAAATACTCGACTGAAATGATGGCTTGAATGCAATGAGCCGATCATTCTAAAATGAGAATTATCACACTTCACTGTATAAAACGAGAAAACAACTGATTCAATTTTACCGGTAGCGAAACGGTGTATGGATCATGTCTCGTATATCCTTTCGTAAGCGTTCATTAAGATAATTTCCACACCAGATCTATATAAAAGCGAAAGAATTGTTGATTTAAGTAATCAAACGTTATACTTGACTGAAAGCAATGAAGAACATTTGTTCATGTGTATAGTTATTCAATAAAGGTAGTCGAAGTTCATCACCATGAACTTTCAGCCATTGTTTATAAGCAAGAAAGGCCAATTCAGTTCCGGCTATGTCGGCGATATTCTCTGATCGTGTTGTGTTACCATTCAGTGTCATATTAACTTGCTCGTACGTGTAGTTCGAGTATTGTTCAACAATACATCGTTCTGTTTCGCGATAAGTTGCGTCGGTTTCATTATTCCACCATTGATTGAGATTACCATGCTCATCAAAATAACGTCCGTTCGTATCAAAGCCGTGAATAATTTCATGGGCTATGACCATACCGATACGACCATAGATTACAAAACTAGAAGAACAAAAAAGAGCAACTTTAACATAAAATTGTTAATTGAATTTTACTGTGGAAATTTTGAACTGTAGAGAAAGGGTCGTGTCATGCCAACGGGTATAATGATAGCATTGCGATTGCTGTCATAGAGTGCATTGACTTGAGCTGAGCTTGTCATCCATCTGATCGAGACAGAAGTCAGATCATAGACTAAAATGTTTCGAGTCAAAATAAATTTCTTACTGGTTTTTGTCAACAGGTTTCCGAAAGAGTGCAATGTTTTTCCGTACTTCATTACCCAAAAGATTGATGACATTGTTTAAATGATTATCAAATGCAATGTTTAACTGAAACAAAAAGAATAGACGAGTTGATATTCCGTTGACACTTACATGAGCATGACTTATATTCAAATAAGTTTCATTTAACGCTTCCAATGGATATGCAATGAACTCATTCATCAATTGCGCCTAAAATAATATTTCCAGATTTCCCGGAGAGTTGAATTAAGTTTGTGTTTTACTTTGGCAAGTGCGACTTTTTTTGTATCATTTGTCATCCATGTATTTCGTTTAATGGTTTCATAGAATGTACTTCGAATATTGAGAATTACTTCTTGTAACTAAACAAGAGATCAAGTATTCTGATAAAATATGTACTTTGTGAATTCAGTACTTCTTCGCGAATATTATCATCGGATTGAGATTTTAGATAGAGATAGGTCATAGACTGGGCGAAAGTTTCATCGGCGCGATTCAATAAACAATGCGAACCAATTCCATTCAGAGCAGCACCCTAGACACGATGAGAAGATATCAAACTAAAACGATTGTTTTCTATATAAAACTCTACCTGAGTCAGACGTGCAAGTTCGTAATGAGCTTCTCGAAAAGTCTTACTTAAATCAGGCACAAGACTTGCGATAACACGCCAGAGGGCATAACCTGTCATTGTTCTAAATGTCAACATAGTTTCGACAAAATGCAATATCGTTCGTTATGACTACCGTATGTCAAAGCGACGAATAAGTCGCTCAAGATCTTCCATATATTGGCTAGCATAGAGAACAACTATTGATTCGTCAGGTGGAATAAATTCTTTGAACACAATGTGAAAGTAAACAGTCCAGTTGATTGATTTAATCATTTGTTGTAATTCGCCGACAGATATCTTCTTGTAAAAATCCATAACTGTATTCGATGGTTGATCATCACGAATCTAGAGATGAACGAGTAATTGAGAGAGTTGTCGGGTAGTTCGACGTTTGTTCTTGAAAATCATTGTTGGCTTCTCAGGGAAGTAGACTGTCTCATGTAGCTCAGGGATAAACACAAATTGTGATTCGTCCTCTCCCTCACTACTCAAGTTGGTAACGATGAACAAAAAAGAAACTCTCACCTACGTTGGCGATTGCCTTCTCGAAAGTGAGTATTCGTTGCATTTCACTCCGTGCTTGTGATCGATCAACACCCAGACTAGTCGCCACGCTGACCATAAAATTTAAATAAGCATCGATCTCTTCTTCGGATTCGTATGCAGCGGATGCTTGCAGAAATAATGATGGGTGGTTAATCTACAAAACAAATCGTAGTATTATCTGAAGAGAAGTTATTTTCTGTAATATGAATTACAAGAATGATATGTTGAGAATTATTCATGTCGTCTGCAGCTACTTTGAGCTCAAACAAAGGTTCAATGTTGAATTCTAAATGAAGCGTAGCTAGTAAGCGTTCCAGGGATGATTTCGATTGCCATTGTTCGCCATATAACGGAGGAAATCCACCAAACCGATCGAGATGTTGCATAAGTATATGATAAGTTGCATTTTCTACTGCCGGTGAATCTCGTTCTGTAAATATCAAGTGGAAAACGAAGTGCTCTCTACGGAACAAGTATGTTTATCATTACCTGTGCTGATGCACGTTTGATAGAAGATTTTAAGCTTGCGAACAGCATCTGGTTCGGTGCTAAGGACAGGCTTACGAAGTAATTCTAGAAAACATTTCTTGGAATGGCGATCAGAGAAGTGATTTTACAGAAATACCTCGATATAAATCAACAACATCATTGACAAATGATTCGAATGAAGAGCGAACACTTCGACCTTCTGGAATTGGATGACTTTTATCCCAATTACCACAAGCAAATTGATAGAAATCCTTTAGGCAATACGAAAGAAGAAATCGTTCAACTTCTTTTCAAAAATCTACTTACTTCACATGGATCAACAGTAATATCCATTGCATTGTATGTATCCGCTGCTAATGTGATACATTCCGGTGTTAAACACAATTTCTCTAAAATATATCGATTAAGAATCTGTTTATTAAATGTTATTGTTTCAGAAAAGTCGTTTTACGTTCAGGTCGAAGTCGTGTATGCAATGCATATAGAAATAATAAAGACATAACAATAGTAATAGCTAGTAACAGTGAAAGACACAATCCGAATGTCATTTTATTTTGGCATAGATAAGCTTTAAGCCAGTTGGTAGGCTTTTTATGTTTCATTGTCGTCGTTGTTGTTGCTGCTGTTGCAGTTGAAGGTGATCGAACTTGCACTTCAGTCATAAGAGATTCGTGTTCACCTAACGATACTGGTACACTAGCCATTGGTCTCTCCTTCATATATGGTGTAGAGCTTTTGTTTTTCGTTATTTGTATTGCAATTAATTGTACGTGAGAACGGGAATTGTTTGTGTTGTATTTATTAAATAGCTTGTTGTGACAATTATCTACGATGTTTGTAACGTGTCATGTTTACAAGTCAGATCAGAGACGCTTGACTTTTTGATCTGATAATACAAAAGTAAATTAATAACAAGAAAATGAGAAAAATAAGAAAGAAAACGAGGAGAGAAAAGATCGACGTCTGTTTATCATCACTTACGTTCGACACACATCAACATCTTGATGTATTAAGTTCCATATAGCGTCGTATGTTTGTATATAATGTCTATATTTCTCTTGACTACTCGCTGTCGTGTATTGAAGATGCTCTTAGTATGAGTTGCGTCGATCGTCGTTCGAAGGTATATAATTAATTGATACTCGCTTTCTCTCCGAGAAAGAAACGATCGACGGACGAATCCCGGCGGAGAAGACAAGAAGCGCGTCAAAATATGAATGGATTGTATCATGCGGAAGTTGTCATCCACGCTATTTTCATTGCTCATTGAATCGATTCCCACTCTCTTCTCGCTGCCGTATTGAGTTCGTCTAATGCCAATAACAAAACGATTCGCATTCGATTTGTAATAACAATAGATATCGATCTGAATAGAAAAATTTCCTTTGTAATCAAAGCGAAATTTTCCGGACATTAACTATCTACCCGATATTTTCGATCTTCTCTCTCTCCCTCCTCGCCAAAGGAACTATATTGTTATTACATTGTACAGAAAAGCACACGATGACGACGGGAAGATTTCCGTTTATAACATATTGATTGATTGATAAGAGTGTCTCATTAATCAATCTATTATAAACAGTGTATATATGAGGCATATTATTCTTTCTATCCGATAATCTACAATGTGTGTTATAGTTCAAGCAACTTGCTTTTATGAACACAAGATAAGTGATGGATTAGATTAGGATACATCAATGCTCGTGAACAGAGTTTGACATATCATTTCAGTTTAGTTCCTATTCTGCTTGATGCGATTAAAAACAGTCTCGTTTCACATTTTATCTTTGTCAAGACTAATGGATCAGCAGCCACCTAGGGCATCGATCTGATTGACATGTACTGAAGAACATCGAGAAAAAGATTTTAAGAATCTTTTGTCATTACTAATTATCATCAAAGAGTTACCAACAGGACATCGTATTGTTTATCATCGATGAGATCTTATGATTTCGTTGTTTATAAGGAAACATTTGATTATATCCATCCAGGACAACAATTCTCACAACATCCAGGCCGTGTTTGATGGATCGACTATTCACGAATTCGACTTTCTTGAATACATATACATCAATACTTTATTAAATATAATGAGAATTCTGTTGTTTGAAACATCACTCTATGAAAGCGTTGACTCCTCCATTTAGATTTCTGAGAAGACAAAGAAAAGATTACACGTACGACGAGCAAAGGAAAAAAGGAACAATTCAGCTGTTAGAATATTAAATACAACGTGCATGAATAAAAAATCAATTCTGTGATTGCTGGTGACCTTGTTTTAACGTTGTTGTGCCGGATTTCCATCCGGTCCCATTCCGCTAGTAGCGCCAGTTGTTAGTTGGAAATGTTGTTGAATATTTTGGGGTGGTGTGCCATAAGGTGGTACTTGCATGGCAGCTGTCGTGTACTGCATTTGCATCGTAGATGTACCGGATTTCAATTGTCCATGTGTCGGTGCGTTAACACTTGACGGATCCACGTTGGATGCGGATGAAGGTGTGGCTGCCGATGCTGGTCCTTGAGAATGAATAGTGGATGAGACGTCCGTCTTGGCACAAAGAAAGTGAAGGCGTGATCGAAGCTTTTCGCAATGAAGATTATTCACGACTGTTTCAATGCGATCACGTATTGCATCACCAACAACAATATATTTGATATGATAGAGAAAGTTAGCGATGGTATCCACATTCACAAACGCCTGTTGATGAACATCAACGCGTGCAATGAGATCGTATGGGACGATAACAAACTAAAACGAAAGTTGATGGAGAAGAAGAAGATCATATGAGACTTTTCGTTACTTCAAGTAGTAATTTTGTCGATTCAGTTTGAATACGTTGAAGAAATGGTCCAATCAATTGAAATGCTAAGAGAAGTTGATTTTCAGTTTTGATTGTTTGCGAAAGTCGAACTTGAACTAGGCTGCAATATACAAGTAGATTTCAAACTAAGTTTAGTCATAAGAAGTTACCTAAGAAATGGTTGCAAATGACTGATGCTACCATGTAGCCAAATTGAATGAACGACAGCCACGAAACAGCATACCATATTTTCTGTATGTGTACAAAATCGTTCACGAAAGTTAAGTAAATCCATAATGTCAGTTGGTGAACAACGTAATAGCAGTGGATGTTCAAATATTTGGCACATACGTTCGAATAAATTCGACCAATAGTATTCCTAAAAGAAAAATCATATACATTCTTGGTAAATAACGAATCATCGTCTTGGCATACTGGTAAGGCAGAAAAAAGAAGACCCATGGTGTTGAGATATTTCAAATAATGTGCCCGAGGTATCAAACTATCGCTACAAATGAAAGTAAATAAACGAAGATTTTCAGGCGAATCGACTTACGCAGATATAAATGGCTCTGCGAATAATTTCCACGGATTGAAATTTTCTTGGCCAGTATAAAAAAAGATTTCAATTGCTAGGCAGTGAATCAATTGTAATGATGGATTTGCGAATTCATTATAACGCCAATCGATGTTGTACTCGTAGGAGCTTTTCTCATAGATAGGTGCACGGGAGTTAAGGAAAACAGGATAAACCTAAAAATGATCTTTCTCAAAGCAAAACAAAGAATAAGAAAAAGGATATCATCCACAAGTTTATGCAGAAGATCAATGGCATAACGTGAATTGAAAACAGGTGATGGTAGTTGACGTTTTTCGCCATCGGGACGAAGATGATTTTCGATATAAGAAGTAAAATTATTGGAAAAACACCATTCCATCTTGCGCATATGATAGATATTCCCTGTAGAACAAATCAGAAGTGTTGATTTCTATTAGGTGTCATTTGAGGTTTACCGAGTGTGCCGATGATTAATGATTGCCGAAAGTTGAACTTTTCGCGTAATTTTTTCTCATAAACAAATAAAGTATTATACAAAAATGTCACCGGTGCAGCTACAATACACAATAATCTCAGATCAATTCAAAACAAAGACTATCGCTACACAAACCATGTGCACGAAAGAGATTCTGAGCAATTGGCAAGACAGTATCCACAATACGTGCATTGGGCATGTGTTCAAACATTCGACTGATAATTAATTCAAAGATCTAAATTAAATAACGTAACACGCTTGTTCAAGTACATCCATACATCGCTGAATACTGTCAAGTTCCTTTCTCTTCAAAACGTCAGTAATCAACTTACCGGTAGAAGACGAAGACACATATTGCTGTAATAAGTTGGTAAACAGCGTTCCATCGACTACAAACAACAAAATTAATGTTATGGCTAATGCAAATGATATCTGAACGTACTGGTTGTAAATAATCCTTGATAAGACCTTCCATGAAGAAACGCTCGATGTTTTTCTATAACAAGACATTAGATCAATTGAATCAATTACGAAAAGAAGTACCTTGTGATATTCACAATGGAATTTTTCATGGAAATTTTTCATACTCCAAATATCACCGGATATCTACAAACGAATGACATTCAATATAGGTATGATTTCGTAATCTGAATGTGAATGCAATGAACTACATACACTTCTTGCAATGTTACCAAAATCTTTGATAATCTCTGATAATGCACTTGAATTAATCATGAAATAGAACAGAATATGCACGTAGGGTGTTTTGGCTTCATCCAATGGTCGAAGAAACTACATTAAATCAGTGTTGAGACATATTATCATCAAATCAACGTCTTCAGTCCTACTAGAATCAACAAAAGTCGATCAAGTTGAATAATATTATAGCGTGTTGCCATGTTCACAACTGCATCAGCATACTAATCACGAATGAAAATCGAATACAGATCGTTTTCTGCATTTATGATGAGACTTACTTTCTGCATAAAGGTTTGACTATGATTTTGTTGTAGAGTTATTTCACGTAGAATATATTCTGCCAACGTACGATAATGCGCATTCATTGAACGTGTCAAAAGGTTTTTGAATATTCTAATTCATTTCGAGTAGGTGAGTATTTGAATTCGACAAATGTATCGAAAGACTTACTCATAGAACGTATTGATATATGAACGTAATGGACGATCTTCAATAGTTAGCTTGAGAAATACGCTAAAACGAAGATTGAGATTGGAATATCCTAGCTAATGAGACGCCGAAAATAAATCTTTTACTTACCAGAAGCAAGTTGTATTATTCGGTTGGCTAAAATGTTTGACAATTTCTTGTTCGTTTGCCAGCGATGCTGAATCTAGAGAAGAGCGAAATAACTGGTTCATAACGAAATACATGATCATTCTTCTTTACTAGTTAGTTTTTTATAATCATCATCAACACGTGCTCGTATATCTCGATAAGCATCGCTGATCTGATGTGCTCGATACCATTCAGCCATGAAACTCGGCATAGCTTCTAATGTTGATGCTGACCAACCATGTGGTGTGATTTGCATGATATGAGTTAAAAAATCTGTACACCAAGGAACAGGCATGGATTCAGAACCTAGGGAAGACCATCTTAAATTAGTTATTTCATTCAAGGTACCGATTATCAGTAAACCTGTTATGATAAAGGATCGAGCGATGCATAAAATAAAAACTTTATTGATTTCTTCTGATTCTTTCGTAAAAACGGATTGTAACATTTTCGAATCGATTAGCTTTGGCACTTGGTTAAAGAGATCCGTGCAATTGAATTGAAGAATAAGATTGAGTAGAAGATTTTGTATTCTTGAATAGAATCAAATGTTCTCTTCTATTCAAGACAGCGGGGGAAAAGTTATTCAACTTACGCGCAATACAACTGTGGATGACCTGCATGCTGTGGTGACACCAATATTCCTGAGAATTGCTGTAAAAGTTGTGCGCGTGTTGACGTTGGAATGCGATGAAGTCGAAATGTAAATAATTCTGCCAGTAAATGTGCGCCTAAATACCAATTCTTGCTAATGATCGCTTCGGTTAGACTTAGCAATTCTTTCAATCGATCTTGTTCTACTTCTGGATAAGCCAACAAGCGTGCGAAAGATTCCACGCCACCCGGTGAAACTGCTGACCATTGAGTTGCGTTGTACATATTTTTTAGGATAATTTCTTGATAGTACTGCTTGGCGATTAGACATTTGACATGTGCACTCATCGCATCCAATGATCGATACGGAATACCTTCCGATGGACCGAAAACATTGTGACTAATATGACTTGATGGAATGGATTGCGAAGAGTTGAGAATATAAATTTTGAAAAGAGTATCTATGTAAGGTGAATTGGCTTTGGCATCATTACCAACAAGGTCTAAAATGAACAGATAAATATTTCAAGGAGAAATTCCGTCTATGAACATACTCCAAGCAATATAAAATCGATAATCGTCAATAGATGATAATTTGCGGTCTTCAAAGGACTTCAACGCTCTAAAACGAAGAAAAATTCACAAGTGAGATGCTTGTCTCATGTTGTTCTACTGGTATATACTCAATATGCATTTGCAGTGCAACAGGAGTTTGATGCTGTGGCAATGATACTGTCGGAGACGATGCTGCGATGGCTGGTATGACTCGTGTCGTGAGAAAATACCAATTCGATGCTGCTGCTATCGACACAACCGACTGGAATTCACGATAGTCAGGTTCGGGTAATGATTGAGTATCTGGATATAGTATTCGTATAAGGTCAAGTAATATCAAATAATCAGACCAAGCTGGCTGTAAGAGAGAAAACGAAAAGATTCATTGTAATCTAAAACGATAAACGCTACACTTACTTTGCCTTGGTTTTTATACAATATATGACAAAGCATTTGTCCAATCAACCACATAAGCCAATCTCGACCGACCCCATAGACAGGTCCAGGAAACGATGCAACCTATAACGGTCATCGCAAAATAAGGCAACTTTTTCGAATTGATTCATACTTTGATATTGATTGTATTAAGGATGCCACTTAAAGTTACGCAAACATTTTGGACATAAACGAGGACAATATGTGCTGTAACAGTCCATAAATGTAATTGACCTTTATTTACAAAAACAAACAGGATAAGACTTCTCTTGTTACAATGAAAGCGATTGGTGAACGAAAATTTATCGAGCGAGATCTGTTTGCCTTTGAATTACCTTCAAAATCTTGATTTTTATTTGTTTCAAATATATTCCATATTAATAAGTCAGCTAGTGATTCTTCGATTGCCGTGATTCGTTGTTTTATCTACAAGTCAATTCATGAGTAGACGTTTTCAAAGTCAAGAACGCTTCCAGCTTACATTTCGTGCAATGCCAACTAAACTAAATGCGAGATCACGAGAATTCAATTGTTTAATGACATAGCAGAATAACTCCGTTTGCGGTTGAACCTGTGCCTGCGAAAGAAACCAAAAGATAATCAACTACGAAGAAGAAATATTAACAATCCTACTCTATCAAATGGTAATGGAGCTGTTTGATGAAATTTCAATTTCACAAAATGCAAACGCCATAAAATCGATGCATAATTTGAATAACCAACAATAGGATAGAGCATATCACGACCTAGATAACAAACAGAAGTAGAGCGTATTCTCATTAGTTGAAAAACTTTACCGGTGATAGACACTAGCTGAGCTGTTGGACGGAATGAGTCAATAAATTTCAATAATAAACTTGAAAAGCACTAAACAGTTTAAAAGAACATTTGATATCTATGAAAAATTTCTTATCGAATATATCTACGGGTGGATATGGGCTCTCAGGTTTACCCCAAGGCAACGTTTGTTTGATTTCGTTCTGTATGAAGTAACTCAGTTGCAGATTATTATCAGGATTCATAATAAGAGCAACAAGCTAAAGATAGAAACATTTGCCAATCGTCCAGGGCGATTATGTAAGTCATACTGTATAGAACTTAAAAACTTTTTCAATATCTTGTATTGGTGTATGTGACATGAGCATTTGCACTTTTTCTAATAACAATTTGAAAATATCACGAATACCCTACGTAGAAGAGATGAGTCCTGTTTTGTGTAACATTCCCGTGATTGTTACTTTATAATCTGGAAAGCGCACGAGAAATTGCAGAAGATCCATAGCCGAATTCCATATCAAGGCTGGTAGAGCAAAATTCATTCGCGGATGTTGTAAAATACCCTCGGCAAATGGTCTGAATATCAAAATGACAATAAAATTCATTGTTCGAAATTTTCATTCGAGTTTACTTCGCTAATGGTGGATGAAACTCCACCATTTTCTTCAATAGTTTATTAATTGTATACATTCGAGGTGCATTCGTCGAGTCCATAAATAATTCCACAAATGGACGCACAAATATAGCCACATCCTACTCAACAAAATACACTTTCAGCACATCGATGCGCACATTTTGTCTCTCATACTCTAATTGAATTTTGCTCACGCATTTTTGCTTGTACAACATTGATAACATGATCAGTTAACACGTCAATATCTTGAACATTCGATAGTAAACCGCTAATCTCACTTGAACCATCCAATCCCTGAATAGAAAAGAAAACAAGAAAGAACATATTGAAATACATCGCTTCCGTCGACGTACAAGTGCTCGTCGACATGCCACATAGATCGGTTCATCAATATTGGCCATATCTACAAAAATGTCGAGTTGGTTGTCATCATTTGGAAATTTCCTTAGTCGTCTTTTATTCTATGCATTTATTTACATGAAATGAAAAAGAAACGTGATAAGTGAATATCAGAGAGTGAGATAAACAGGAGGAAAGCGAGAGAAAAAACTGTTCGCATAAAGTTTTCTTTTAATTTCAAAACACACCAATCGATGTGTTAAACAAAGACGAAGAAAAATAATAATAATAATCATCATGATCATGAAAAGTAAACAAAACAAAATTTTTGCGACTACATCATGTCTAAAGAATCAAACTAGACAAGGAGCGGAATCTTAGGATAGAACGGATCCCGTGGCAGTTAATGTACACCCTTGTGCTTGATGTTCTTGCAATTGTCGTTCTAATCTGTTAATATCCGTTTTCAATCGATCGGCAGTACTTGATAGATCTCGATTTTTCTCTTGTAATTCATTGACACGTTTTTGCAGTTCTGCTATGCGTGTTAATTTACGCGTTCGACATTTTTGTGCTGCCTAAGAAAGGAAAAAAAAGCATCACATTAATTCAAGGTTCTATTTTGTTGATATGAAAAATATGGGTAAGCAAGCAAAACACTTACTTGACGGTTTCGTTCACGTTTTTTCTCTTTTTTCAATAATTCATTGTGTTCAAGACTAATACGTTCAATCGACGAATTGCCATTGTTGTTCCGTAGATTCGGAACATGTTGAGGTTCATCTTTCACTTTATTTAACATAATTGTATTATGCTGAATATGTGCAGTCATCGGACTTGGTGCTGAAGATGACAAAGCAGAATTGGACGATTCATTGCCATTCATTGATGTTTCCATTGATGAGGATATCGAACGATTACGGGTATGAAGTTCCTGTCCTTGTTGATGTGGAATACGACTCGCGAGATATGTTAGAACGTGTTCTTGATTTTGAGTTTGATTTTGGATCTCGGCACTAGTCGGTGTCGTTGCAGTAATCGCTTTTTGTAATGCTTGTGTTAGTTGACTTAATTGATCACCACCTACAGAAGACGATATTTGTTGTAATAGCTGATGAGTATCCGATGGAAAGACGATATATTGACGACCATTGCCATCGGACTGAATTTGTTGTTGATGTGCATTGATTAATTCTTCGAGAACTTTAACACCTGGATGAATAGTTAAGAAAAGACACAAGTAGAAAGCTAATTATTCCTTATTCTTACAAACCTGGCGATGGTTGGGCATCAGCAGCAAATGCTATATTACTTGCTGGCTGTGCTGTTATAGCATTGATAATATCTGGAGTTTGTAATTGAACGGTTGGAGTTGTATTCGAAACAATTGTATAGCCACGTAGTTTTTCATCTAATTCTGGTGTGCTCAGCAGAAGTTTGTTGTAGTCACTTGGCGTTAAGAGAATTGAATTACCCATGCGTTGACCACCGAGCTGCAATGTGCTTGGACGTGAAGAACTTGGTACTATACGCGATGGCGGCGGAGACATGTTTGTCGTCGTACTAACTGTTTCATTTTGTGCGACAAATGACAGATTAGGTTCGACTTGTTGAGGATCCTGATCGTTCTTTATCGTATGATCATCCATACTACTATATAAACTGAAGCGTAAAAACTTTTATCGTTAAAATTCGAAACAACGTGTGTTTACATACGTGAGTAACAATTCGAATACAAAATAATTTGTTTCCTTGATACGCGCAAGCTTACTCTTTTCTGACGAAATAAATAATAGAGCAAGGCAGAGAAAAAATGTGTGTTGTATAAAAAGCTGTTTCAATGATGGAAGGAAGAGAAAAAGTGCACGAGTGGGCGATATAAGCGCAACAAAAGTGCTACGTATATATAAGAGAAAGGCAAATAGAAGGAAAAAAAAAACATGGTGACTCAGCAAAATTTACAGTGGTTCTTTTTTAATGACTCATTTGAAAACGGCGTTATTGGTGGAAAAATTTCAAAGAATGGAAAATTTGATTTTCAAATTTTCTTTCAGTAAAAGGCGAAATCGATTTAAAAAAATGCTTTTGAAAAGTTTTTATGATAACGAGCGACATCTATAGGATCTGTTTTAAATCCAATGTGAGTTACAGCCATACGGCTGAAAAGTAGGATAGTTTCCTTGAATAGATCTTGGGTAGAGATTTTACCGACAGCTGATGAGTCATATTTTCGAGCATTTTCCTCCCTTTCCTGTTATGATTCATGATGGGTAATTCTATTCCATTCCATACTCTGCGAACGAATTGATAATTGATGACAGGCGAAAGAGGGAGAGAGAGAGATAGGTTGTTAAAAAAAATTATTTTCGATAACACATATGTAAGAGTGCAGCAAAGTCCATGAATCATCGGATGCATTCAAACCGTTCAATAAATGCTATTTTCACGAGTTTCACAAGTCAACATTGTTGTTACTACCCCCAAAACAATCTCACCACTGTTTATTTGTTTAATACGATAAAAATAAGTTCGATACATTGATATAATGAAGAATACATGGACAAAGTACCCAGTAGATTGTACTAACGAAATCATATGAAACGCTACGAGTAGAAATAAAATGTGCGCAACAGACGATAAAAGCAATTTAATCTTCTTGTAATAACTCATGATTTCTACAACGACACTTAATGAGATTCCGTTGCACAATAAAATAAAAATGAAATCACAGAAAAACAAACAACTTTACTAGAATTTGTTTCGTATGATATCGGCTGTTTGTTTTCATCTAAATGCGTTCCTGATTGTTACTTGGATTGACTTTCACTTTCTTCTCCCATCCATAGAGAAATGTAGCCGTAATAACCAGCGTTGTTCCCATGAAGAAAAATCTAAAACAAACACATCCAAGAATGAGAATATTCATTATTTGCATATACGTACGCTGTCGGCGTGAAATCATTCAGAACGAAATACGAAACAACGGATGAAAGAATAATTGAAAGTGAAGTAGCAAAGCCTTTAATTATATTATCAGCATATTTAATTACAGCAGCTATTATTAAACCACCGACCGCCTATGGAAAGACATCAAGAGAAGTCAGTCACTGGCAAATGATTTTCATTACTTGAAGAAGCACAACAATCCATACAATCGTTGTATATCCTTGAAAAAATCCTTTTTCCATCACAGCATTGTAGTCAAATATGTACACAATTACTAAACCAAAGAGTGTACCAAAGATAGCTAGAAACGAAGTAACAAGTAAGACATGTCGACGAATACGAGTGATTACAAACCTAATTGAATATTTCGCATCCAAACTGATGTTGGTCCAGTTTTGAGAATTTTCTCAAAGTAAACTCCAGCAAAACCGGATGTGAGTGTTGCCATGAGAACAGCGCCAAAACCAATGAATTGTTGAAACCAAGATCGTTGAACTTGTGAAGCGGCGCGTTTAGCGACTTCATCGGACGATGGCCACTAGAGAATTTCAATGAATTCATATCATTCCACTTATTTCGTTTGTCTTACAGTCACAAACGCCACACCGAGTGCTAACATACACAGAGAAAACCATTGATGCTTTTCCACGCGTTTTCGAAGCATAAAAACAGAGCAGAGTGCTGTTGTTAAAATTTTTAATTGATAAGTAACTTGATATGTTGCAGCATTGAGATAGGATAAAGCCACGAATAGAAGATTGTTTTGTATTGCGTATAAACCACTGGGTATCGCTAACTTGAATGTTTCAGACGGTTTGCCATATATTTCCTCGTTTAATTTACGAAATAATCGTGGGAATGAGCAATCTAGAGAAACATTCGAGCAAGATATTCCTAGAATCGATGCTCGTCATTTTCATACCGTTTTCAAACCAAACAAGAACAACACATATCAATCCTTTGATGAATTCAGAAGCAACAATCGCTGTCGAGGAGATATACGTTTCACCTTTTCGTGTACGCGAGTACCGTAAAAGAAGAACGATGCCTGTTGTCTGCAGGATCAATGCAATAAGACTCATCCATTTTAGGTTGTTTTGTTTTTGCATCTGAAATTAGACAAGCAGAGTTTCACAGAGAAGTTGGAAAGGGTGTTCAATCAAATCAAGCCATTCATTAGCAAACAGTCGGATAAGTAATGCGTTGAAATCAAAATCAATCGTATATACTCACACGAGACATTTTATAAATGTTCATTGTTAAGAAAAGGAGACTGTGATATCTAGAGAGATACATATGAATAGCAAGATACTTGTCAAAGGCCCATCTTAAAACTACAGCGACCGTTTGTATGCATATATAAGAGATGAGAAGCGCGAAAAGCAAAGTTATACTCTTATCTCTACCTCTGGTTGCATGATTATCCGATCTGAAAAAGATATATAACATATTATTGCTGATTCAGATAACAGTAGAGTAGGATTTTGTCAGTATCTTTCGTTCTTTTATTTTGTTCGGAAAACAGACCAAACAAATTTTAACAACATTCGGATTCAACAAGTTTCAATCCGTTACAATATTGAAAATCCGTACTGTTCACATAATCACTGATATCCAACGCAACTTCGCAACTTTCACGAACGACACGTTCTTCATCTTTCAAATATGTTTCAAGGATACGTCGACATTCATCAGTGCCGATGGAGCCGAGTGTTTCAGCACATTCATGTCGAACCATGTAGTTTTCATCGAGAATTGACAGTTGTTGATGAAGAGCTGGGATGGAACAGACTGATTGAAGTTGACCAAGCACAAAAGCAATTTCGTGTCGAAACAAAGCACTTGATGCTCGGAAGCCTAACAAAAAAAGAGTACTCTTTGAATTTTTCATCTATTTAGTATATACCTTCACATATGGCCAAGACAGCTTCGTCGGTACCAATATTTCTGAGAGCAAACATAGCACGATAGCGTTCAAATAAAGATCGTTTTTCATCTAATAGAATTTCTTTTAATTCATCGATGGTTTTCGGCGCTAGTGGTGGTGCTGGATCAATGGTTGGAAATGATCTATCTGTTGAAGTTGATGATGTTCCATTTGATGCATTCTTTCGTAGCCACGCTAGGCGATCAAGCGCTATTTGACAGGTTTCAGCAATCTAAAATACATCACATTGAAATACCAATTTGTCAATCAAACTACATTCGTCATTTTACCTCTGCTCGAGAATTTTGACTCTGTTTTGTAAGTGCATCGATGACATTTTGATTATCGAAACAACCCAATGCACCCAATGCTTCACCTGTAATGACACATACGAACATCGAGGAAAAAGTACTCAACTAGTGTTTCATACCGGCTTCGTGTCGTACCATGGAATCTTCATTCGAATCGTTTAATACATGAATTAATTTCTCAATAGCATATTTGTTACCCATCTGTCCAAGACAATAAGCACATTCATGTTTTAACAATGCTGAAGTGTCGGCAAATGCACGGGAGATGGCATCGACAATGCGGGATGTTTTTTCCGATTGTTGTTGATTTTGGCTATCGAGACTCTTAAGGGTGAATAGAATACGAAATCGAAGTTTGAGTGGTAATGATGTGTCCACTAACATCGATGAAAGTTTTTCGACAGTTGTCTCGTTTGCTATTGATGTCATTGTACGTGATTTCAACAGATTAATTTTTCGTGTGGTGAACTATGATACGATACACCAATACTTCCACTATTGGTTGTTATCATTTGACCAATGAGATTTGTATACGAATCCTCCGAAGGAACATCAAATGGATAATAGAATGAAAATTTTGTAATTAAAACTATTGATTTTACTTAATTGTTCGGCTTTATTCTCGGATGGATATTTATTTCGTGTCTGGAAAATAATTCTTTCGCGTCAATCTTCCTACATCACACGTTCGGCGATTGTATCTGTTTACGCTAATCAGATTTTTCTCTCTCGTCACTTTACTATCTGTGTGTGTAATTGTGTGTGTGCGAGTGCGCATTCTTTTTGTTGGTACAAAAAAGCTTAAAAAAAAAGAAAAAATCCTTTGTTAAATTTCACAATTCCGTGAAGCCAAAAAAAGCGTAAAAAATCAACTTTTTTCCAAAAGAAAAAAACTTAACTACTCTATCTGTCTCATAACAATACAAAAAAGCCAACAACAGCGCTCAAAAACAAAAAAGACACAAAAAACATGTCAGCACCTACAGCAGCAGCAGCTCCAAATTATCCAATGGCATCATTATACGTTGGTAAGTGTCGAACTCTTGTTAGAAGGACGTTCATATGACAAGAAATTTTTTGTTTGTATTAGGTGATCTTCATCCCGATGTCACTGAAGCCATGCTATTCGATAAATTTGCAAGTGCCGGACCTGTACTTTCCATTCGAGTTTGTCGCGACATGATTACACGTCGATCACTCGGCTATGCTTATGTTAACTTTCAACAACCAGCCGATGCCGAACGTGCTCTAGATACAATGAACTTCGATGTGCTACGTGGTCGTCCATTACGTATCATGTGGTCTCAACGTGACCCTGCCTTACGTAAATCAGGTGTTGGCAATGTATTCATCAAAAATTTAGATAAAAACATCGATAACAAATCACTCTATGATACATTCTCAGCTTTTGGCAATATTCTTTCTTGCAAAGTACGTGAACTATTTCTTGTTTGAGTTTCCAAAGCACTTAACGCTTCTTCTTCTTCACGTAGATTATGACAGATGAAAATGGCCAGTCGAAAGGTTTCGGCTTTGTTCATTTTGAAACTCAAGAAGCAGCTGATAATGCTATTAATAAAGTTAATGGTATGTTATTGGCTGACAAGAAAGTATTTGTCGGACGATTTGTTTCAAGAAGTCAACGTAGTGGGGAGGGTCCAGAACGAAAATTCACTAATATATTTATTAAAAATTTTGGTGATCAACTGGACGAAGAGAAACTTCGTGAACTTTTTTCAAAATTTGGTAAAATTTCTAGTTGCAAGGTATAGAAATCGAGATTGAATTCATCATTGACATCGATAAATGCTTTCCTTTTCTCATTTGATCTAGGTTGAAATTGATGAAAATGGTCAGCCAAGAGGTTTTGGTTTCTGCAGTTTCGAAAATCCAGAAGAAGCTGAAGAAGTAAATTTTATTCGAGCGTTGTTTTTCTTAACATCGATTTTTCTTTCAAAAGGCAGTAAAAAATATGAATGGTTACACGTTAGGTGACAAACAACTCTTTGTTGGTCGTTTTCAAAAGAAAAATGAACGACAAGCGGAGATTAAGCGTAAGAAAGATCTACAACGTATAGAACGTATGAATAAATACCAAGGTGTTAACTTATATATTAAAAATTTGGATGATACTATTGATGATGAACGATTAAAGAAAGAGTTTTCGAAATTTGGTACAATCACAAGTGCTCGAGTGAGTAAATAACATTTGCTCTTGGACGATCGAGCTAATTTTCTCGTTTACTTTAGATCATGTTTGAAAATGGTCGATCCAAAGGTTTTGGTTTCGTCTGTTTCAGTGCGCCTGATGAAGCAACAAAAGCCGTCACAGAAATGAACGGTTCCATTGTCGGATCAAAACCACTCTATGTCGCTTTGGCACAACGAAAAGAAGAACGTCGTATGCATTTAACGAATCAGCATATGCAACGAATTGCGACATCGCGTGTACCACCACAAATGCAATTACCATTTCCAAACAATATGGCAGGAATGATGCCTTACATGCCGGCAGCTATGGGCCCATCACAACCAAGAGCAGGCTTCTTTCCGACAACTGCCGTACCAAATTATCGACCAACTCAACCACGATGGACACCAGCTGGTGCTGGTAACATGAGAGGACAAGCAGGCGGCCCTATGATGAACATGTCGATGGCACAATCCCTGGCTGGAGCTCAACATCGACCAAGTGGTATGGGTGGCTTCCAAGCACGAGGCGGTATGCAAATGGGAAATCGCTCAACACCAGGCCAAATGGTAGCTGGCGGCGGTGTTCGACCCCACGGTGGTGCTCCACTTCCAGCAGCTTATACACGTTCTGCACGAAATTTACCAGCCAATGTAGGTTCACGCTGATTTCATGACAACGGTTCACTTGTGACTATCGTTTGTTTTGTATCATGTAGAATGCCGGCGTTTTCCCAGGCTCGATTGTTGTTCCTGGTCAAGAACCGTTGACACCAGCTGCTCTTGCCAATGCAACACCACAGGAACAAAAACAAATGTTAGGCGAACGCCTCTTTCCAGTAATTCAAAATATGCATCCTGACTTAGCCGGTAAGATTACCGGTATGCTTCTCGAAATTGACAATACCGAATTACTCCATATGCTCGAATCGCGTGAATCACTCAAAGCTAAAGTAAGCGCTTGTAAAAAACATTCCTCTTTTTACTCATTGTCCTTTCGTTCAAGGTTGAAGAAGCCATCGCTGTTTTACAAGCTCATCAAGCCAAACAAATACTTGCCGCCAAACAAGCTGCTACTAACTCAGCTAATTCATAAAGAAAGCATCCACGTTATATTTTCGTTTGTCATCATATGCTTCTTGTCGTCAATCAAAACAGATTTAATCAAACACATCCATATTTATTCATACATAGCTTGTCTCTTAATTTTGTTTTTTCATCTATTCGTGCGTTAAATTATTCAATGTAACGCATCTACTACCTTTCCTTTTCTGTTAACTACTATTCATATTCGTTTTCGTTTTTCGTTTATTTCCATTCCTTATTACTTGTTGTTGTTATTCGGCGTCGACTATGCCGCGTTATTCAAACAAGACCATTACATTGTAAAACACGACAAAAAAATAGAAAAATCATTTGAAAACAAAAACAAAGAAAGAAATTTAATCAACTCTAATTTCGTTTCATCGCTAACTTATTGTTATTATTACTCTTTATAAATATTAGACAGTCGAATACGATTTATGTTTTGATAAGATTTTTTCATCGTTACGGAAAAATAGATCAAGCGTATCTATGTATGCGTGTTTGTGTCTGTATTTGAAAAGCTTAATTAAATAAAAACCTCCTCTTTGAAAACTCTAGACTGATATTTGAATTCAAACGATAACAGTGCAACATTAGCCATGCAAGTAAATAATCCAAAATAGAAAGGGGACTACTTGTCAACCCTTCGATCGTATCTTATACGAAACTCTTCACCATTATCAGGAGCTTTAAAACGATACTTATCGTTTAAACTGATAAGAAACAGTAGGCATCGATAATAATAAAAGGGCAAACGTCAGAAAACGAACCTTGTGTGTCGAAGTCAGACATGAAACGTCTTATAGCTCTATTGGAAGTATATGCAATTCTGTTGAATTTCTGTGTGAATTGTGAGATCACAGTCATTGAAGTAAAATATCCATTAGAGGTAAGACAATTAGCAAGATACTGTCAGTTGTTCTTTATCAAGGACATATTCATTGATCAGCGCATTCTCTATTTTTAATATACGTATAACAGTAAACAATCAACTTTTCTCTGTCGTTTGGCTTTTACCACGCCTTTCAATAAAATCAATCTGCAAACTTTTATTTTCTTCTCTAACTATTTAAACAGGGTCAACGATCACCACCAAATGCAGTATGGCCACATCCACAACAAATCAATGCTTCTCTAGACCTACTCTATATTCGTCCACATGACATAACGATTTTTTCCAACATAGAAACTTGTGATATCATCGCGAAAGCGATAGAACGTTACGATCCGCTGCTCTTTCCGCCTAAACTGACGATGCATGAGCCACCATCAAGCGCTGACAATATTCTACAGAGTGTGTCATTGAATATTCGCGACGGTGGACAATGTGAACAATATATTCAACCAACATCCAACGAAACATGTACGCTCCTCTTCCATACATCTATCATACTTATATTCTCTCTTTCACTTCCTAGATACTCTCACCATCTCACAACAGATCGCCATCGTCGAATCCACCACTATCTGGGGCCTTCTGCGAGGTCTCGAAACCTTCTCACAGCTCGTCTACATCAATAAAGACAACTATGTATGTTTACTCTCGCTACTCGCACATCCTCACCCACACTAACACTCTCCTCCTCATCCTCACAGGTGGTGATCAACAGTACAGTGAACATTGTTGACAGTCCACGATTTCATCATCGTGGTATCATGCTGGATTCATCACGACACTTTCTACCAGTTCCAATCATCAAGAAGAATCTGGTAGGTGAGGGACATGAAATTGCGTTGAGTGACACTGATCGAATAGGATGTGATGTCATATAACAAGCTAAATGTGTTTCACTGGCATCTGGTTGATGATCAATCGTTTCCATTCGAAAGTGAAGCATTTCCAGAGTTGTCTGCAAAGGTGAGAAATAGAGTTTGAGTTATTGTTTGTGTATGTTAGAGAAGTGATTGTTGTAGGGAGCATTTTCAGCAGATCATGTATACACACCATCGGATGTTGCTGATGTGATCGAACACGCTCGACTACGAGGAATTCGTGTTATACCCGAAGTATGTTATGCGCATATCATTTGTTTGGGCTGATTCTTTTCTACATCAAAGATTGACACACCCGGCCATACGTTTTCTTGGAGTAAATCAATGCACGAGTTGATCACTGTGTGCTGGGCAAACGGAAAACCCTATCAGGCTATATATGGAGTACAAGGCGAAATGGAAATCTTCAATCCGAGTGTACCGCGTGTCTATACAGTGATGGATACTCTATTGCGAGAAGTAAAGCGGAGATTTCCATCAAATTATATTCATCTAGGTAGGTGGTAGCGTTATCAAATTAAACTTGCGCATATTCAGATACATTTTTCGTTTGCGTCATTAGGTATGGACGAAGTTTACGATAAATGCTGGTAAGATGCTATCTAACTATAGAAGAATATCATATTAGTATAGAGGATTTCATTGAAGGCTTTCAAATCCTAATATCAGTCAATGGATGCAAGCTGTGAACATCACAAACGCCAAAGGACTTCACACGTATTATGCTGAACGTATTTTAAATATCATGCGAAACATCAGTGCTGCGCCAATCGTTTGGCAAGATGTTTGGGACGAAAAAGTCGAGGTAAGATGCAACATGTGAAGTCCACACTTAGTTTCGAAATATCAATTTATTCAGTTACCACAAAATACAATAGTACAAGTGTGGAAAGATACCAGTGATAACAGCGAATTTGATACGTGGGCATCTTACTTGAATCAAGTGGCAGGTCAAGGGTACAATGTAATTCTGTCAAGTCCATGGTATCTCAATTACATCAGCTATGGCAAATATGATACAAATACATCTGTGATGAACTTAGAGTTCTTCAAATATTATGAAGTTGAACCATTGCGTGAATTTAACGGTAAATTCATTTCCTTCTTTCCGTATATGATTCACTTTTAAGCTTCATTTCACATGTGTATTTATAGGATCGGACGAAGCAAAAAAACGCATTCTTGGTGGCGAAGCGTGCATGTGGGGTGAATTTGTTGATGGCACGAATTTACTTTCCCGATTATGGCCGAAAGCCTCAGCTGTTGCTGAACGCCTATGGAGTGCTGCGAGTGTGAACAAATCCGAAGATGCACAATTTCGATTGGTAAGTAATCAGTTTGTATTCTTCTAAGCATTTTTGTTGAATTTTATAGGATGTGCATCGATGTCGTCTCTTACGGTCTGTAAGATATCTTTCACAACATTCTCATACTTTGACTTTATTAGACGTGGCATACCTGCTCAGCCGCTTCTTAATGGCTACTGTGGAAACTATGAATTAGGTATGGGAAGATCGATGATCAACTATCCTGCATTCAACTATGAAAACTCTAATTCAAATGACTCTACAACAACAGCCACAACAGCAACGCTGCCACAGAGTTCGACCGATAGACCATCATCTGCATCTGGAGTATTTCACGACAGAATATATTACATACTGCACATAACTCTGTGTAGTATCTACGTATTCTTCACACATTAAACCTTCAATTCGGAAACTATTGAAAGAATCTTTCATTTGAAAGCATTTTTCGTTTTTACAAATGGCTAATATCGAGGTATATCCTTTTAGAGAGTATGATTAATCTTTTGCGACAATATGAATTCTTTCTAAGACATTCGATGATAATAAAAAATTGCATATCGCACTTTCTCTCCCTCTCTCACTCAGTCACAACAATCATACATATAAACCATAAAAAGAATCTGGATATTTTATGATCTGTAAGAATCTAATAAAAGTTATTTTTATGCCGATGAATTTTAAGTGTCTTAATTGTTCTACTCTATAAAAAATATGACACAAATCGATGATGAATGATCGTCAAGTTTTACCTGAAAATCAAACCTTGTGTAAAAATAACGCAAATAGATAGCACCTTTTCAGCTGTGTCTGTGCTAATCTCAAATGAAAGCAAAGATCATCGTATGTTGATTCAAGATTAATATGCCTACACCTCGTTTTTCTTCTCAAGTCTTTGTACGCACTTTATTGAAAATACAGAATATATGATAAAATATGCATATCGACATAGAAAAAACTTTTTCTCAAGAGCTAGATCAATCTCTTGAAGGTATAATTATTTTATAGACTGCTAATCGGTTATAAGTGAGTGAGAATAAAAAGATATGTCACTTCGTGTGATATAATTGCCAACAGTTTGAAAACTGTTTTTCACAAAGATATATTACTTTGATAGATGTTGAGACTTGCCTTTTTCTCGAGCTCTCTCCTGTTCTACTTTGTCACCTACATCTCAAGTGAAATCGAATTTATTGCTGTACGATATCCATTGCAGGTAATTAAGTTCAGTTCATAGTTTGACCACCCCTTTTAACAATCACCAGAGAGGTCCTTCGAATTATTTCATATCACCTTTAGGGACAACGATCACCACCAAATGCAGTATGGCCACATCCACAACAAATCAATGCTTCTCTGGATCTACTCTATATTCGTCCAAATAAACTGACAGTCAATTCCAATATTCGAAATTGTGACATAATTTCAAATGCAACTCAGCGCTACAACAAACTTTTCTTTCCACCTAAACTGACGATGCATGAGCCACCATCAAGCGCTGACAATATTCTACAGAGTGTGTCATTGAATATTCGCGACGGTGGACAATGTGAACAATATATTCAACAAACATCCAACGAAACATGTACGCTCTTCTTCCATACATCTATCATACTTATATTCTCTCTTTCACTTCCTAGATACTCTCACCATCTCACAACAGATCGCCATCGTCGAATCCACCACTATCTGGGGCCTTCTGCGAGGTCTCGAAACCTTCTCACAGCTCGTCTACATCAATAAAGACAACTATGTATGTTTACTCTCGCTACTCGCACATCCTCACCCACACTAACACTCTCCTCCTCATCCTCACAGGTGGTGATCAACAGTACAGTGAACATTGTTGACAGTCCACGATTTCATCATCGTGGTATCATGCTGGATTCATCACGACACTTTCTACCAGTTCCAATCATCAAGAAGAATCTGGTAGGTGAGGGACATGAAATTGCGTTGAGTGACACTGATCGAATAGGATGTGATGTCATATAACAAGCTAAATGTGTTTCACTGGCATCTGGTTGATGATCAATCGTTTCCATTCGAAAGTGAAGCATTTCCAGAGTTGTCTGCAAAGGTGAGAAATAGAGTTTGAGTTATTGTTTGTGTATGTTAGAGAAGTGATTGTTGTAGGGAGCATTTTCAGCAGATCATGTATACACACCATCGGATGTTGCTGATGTGATCGAACACGCTCGACTACGAGGAATTCGTGTTATTCCAGAGGTTCGTTCATTGGAAAGCTTTAGTCATCGAGGAATCATTTTCTAAAATAAATAGATTGATACGCCTGGCCATACGCATTCGTGGAGTAAATCAATGCCTGAGTTGCTGACAGTGTGTTGGGCAAACGGGCGGCCTAATCAAGCTGTATATGGAGTGCAAGGTGAAATGGAAATCTTCAATCCAAGTGAACCGCGTGTTTATACAGTAATGGAAAGGTTACTGCGAGAAGTGAAAGAAAAATTTCCATCGAATTATATTCACCTAGGTATAAGACTAAATTTGTTTGGAATAGCAGAGTCATTTCTTCCTGTGTGTCATTTAATTCTAGGAATGGATGAAGTCTACGATAAATGCTGGTTAGTTTTCGTATTCTATGGGTTGAAGCGCAGTAAAACATGTAATTGTTTTGATTTTTCAGGTCATCAAACCCTAATGTTAGTGCATGGATGCAAGCTGTCAACATCACGAGCACCAAAGGTCTTCATGCTTACTATGCAGATCGTGTACTGAACATAATGCGTAATATTGATTCGATACCAATTGTTTGGCAAGATGTCTGGGATGAACAAGTGGAAGTAGGATTGTTTTCGATCGAGTTCTAACTGTATTGAGACATCATGTCTATTTGACATAGTTACCAACTGGTACTATCATTCAAGTATGGAAAGGAGGAGCTGACAATTCATGGGCGTCGTATTTGAATAATGCTGCTAAACAGGGATACAATGTTATCCTTTCAACTCCTTGGTATTTAAATTATATAAGTTACGGCAAATATAATACGAATACATCTGTGATGAATTTGGAATTTTTTAAATATTATGAAATCGAACCGTTGATGAAATTTACAGGTTTGATTGAGAAATGCAGAGAACTTGTTTTTTAATTGAATGCCTTGCTTTACAGGTACTGAAGAAGAGAAAAAACGTATTCTTGGCGGTGAGGCATGTATATGGGGTGAATTCATCGATTCTACTAATGTTTTAACAACCCTATGGCCTCGAGCATCAGCTGTCGCTGAACGATTGTGGAGCGCTGCGACTTTGAACAATTCTGAAGATGCGCAATTCCGATTGGTAAGGATAGCATATCTGACGAACATCGCCATAAAATTCTATTTATTTTCGATTTCAGGATGTGCATCGATGCCGCCTATTGAGGTGCGTTTACTAATTGCACTCTTATGTAATTTTTTTTATTTTGTAGACGAGGAATACCAGCTCAACCGATTCTGAATGGTTATTGTGGAAATTATGAATTAGGTATGGCCAAATCGATGATCAATGATCCAGTATTCAATTATGATGAATCGGTTTGGGTCGACGTGATCATAACGACGGCACAACCAAGTTCAACCAAATCAACTACACCCAATATTGCGTCACCAATACATACATTTACATCTGTCGGTTTATTTGTAATAACAGAACTGCTTTTCTTGACTATCATCTTTTCATAACAATTCATATCTTGATTTTTAATGATGATGCTTTGAAAAGTTTGAGTGAATAAAAACTTGGTACATGCTATATTCTTTTCTCTTCTCTCTCGTATATGTATAAAAACATTCATTTGTTATGATGTGAAGGACATTACGCTTGTTCGTAATCTGATATTTGCAATAAATAGATACCAGAGAAACAAAAAATTGTCTGCGAAACCAGTAAAACGAGTAGAGATACCATGGAGTGGGTGTAGTGAGGACGACTCTCAACATCATCTGTTCGAAAATTAGTATTTTGTCTGTAGCGCAAGGATGCAGGAAAGACGACAACAATTGAAAATTCCACCAGCTTGGCAGCCCGACGAATGGATTTGCCATCATTCAGGAAGTCGACAATCGACAAGAATGGACAATTATTTCGTCTATCAACAATCGAAAAATAGATCAGCAACTAGTTATAGAACTTTAGAAAGATCACCAACTCCTAAACGCATCAGCACAGCCAAACTGCGACGACGTAAGTATATTCAGTTCACGGGTATCTTTGAAAGTGAACACCGTTCTTCTTTGATTACACATAGAAATCGAGAATTTAAGTCTGAAAAGTGCCGAATATCGTCAATCTGCTCGTCAATCGAAAGTCAAACGGTTACGTGATACTATTAGTCCAGTATCCTATAAAAGTTTTTATTCCTATGCTCTTCATCGTCATCTTCCCACCCCACCTATTCACATTCCCAAAATGTCAAAACAGTCTTTAAAACGATGGCTCGACGCTCGAGATGCATATCTTGGTCATAATTATCCGTATATTCAAGAAGGTCTCCGCCGCCATCGACGACTACGACGTCGAAAGGCGCGCAAAGAAATGAACATGATGATCGATTATGACGAAACTGTAACAATCTTATCCATGGAATCGGACCGGTTTACTTTACCCGAACTAACATCTAGCAGTAGCCAACGTCGATTGAGTCGAAAAGAGAGCTTTACGAGACGTCTCAGTCGATCCGAAACAAATCTGCGTCGCTCAGGCAGTCTGCTGCAGCGTATTAAATCATTTGTTCGATCACCAGTCGCTTCTTTAAATCGTCTTCCATGTCGGAAACGAGCAAGAAAGAAAACAGTGATCATCTGGGACAATTTTGATGATAAATGCATTGGAACAGAAATTAGCGAACGAACCACTTCTCGTACGAACATCAAACGTTCCGATCAAGGTGTACAAGCTAATCTACCTCGTCCTCGAATAGAATTACATCATGAATTTGACACTAGCATGGTTGTCGGCGAGAAAAGACAACGAATACGATCTGTTCGAAAAGACGTTGAATATTATGATAAAGCAACAGAGACAGATTTCATTGAGAATTTTGTCACTGTCCAGAGAGAAAAAAGAGGAGAAGAAGAAGAAAAAGAAGTCAATGCTCGCAGGAATGATAAGGCCACTCGTAGTGACGCAGAAAAAGAAAACATAAACCCATCTACCAGCGAACAATACAACGTTGAACAATATCAATCCGGCGACAACGACGACGACAAACATCATTTGCCATCGATGTCTACTTCTGATCGGCAACGAAACAAAAAAACAAACGAAGCAATCAAATCATCACGATTTACGAATGCAGGTAACCGAATTGTTCCGTTAACAGATCTATTTCAATCATCAGCAATCAATGAAAATGATAAACAAAACGAATCGAGATCGGCAATTGTTACACCAACAGAATCGAATACTTCCGTTCATGAACAATTGTACAAGTAAGGAAAGAAGAAATTACAAATTGCTTACATAATTAAAACTACCACCTTTTGTTTCGGCCGACGAGAAAATGTTATATACATTACTTAACTGAGTCAATATACACTTTTTCTTCTCTTCAAAGATGAACTTATTTATGCCTTAGCGCAGACATATATGAGATGAGATGAGAAGAGAAGGGAAGAGAAAGCGTTGTCTTGGTATCGAACTAAACAGTTATACAGAGACAATTGAAAGCACATACATGTATATAAGAGAAAGGAAAGAACGAACGCACGAAACAACTCATTGCGTTAGTTGAACCGACAACTAAAGTGATATTTGAAGGGTATCCTTAAAATTTGTCATGCAGCTCGTCTAAATGACTGATCATGATTTGTCAATATCACCATCTGTACCAACATTAGCGGAAACTAAATCCAATTATTATAGACTACGGACTCGTTTCAATCGGCTGTCCAAAGAACGACGATTGCTCACTTGTCTGCTCATTCTATTCGCGATTGTCATGTGTGGTCTACTGATTGGAATTTTCATTCTATCCTGGATATATCAAGGTAGGTTTTCTTCGTGAGTTTCTTTGTCGGCAAAGAAAGAATGGAATAATCAAAATAATATCATATCTGTACATACCAAATACTCATTCTTAGGACGAACTTCGATAATCTATCGAGAAGTTAATACTACTACTACTACTGCTACTAATGTTGGTGTCAGCGTTGTTGAAGGTAAAACGAGAGCCATTCAGTTGCCTTGTTTCATCACGTTTCATTGATCAAAACTTTACACACACACATTTCTTTTCTACCTATATTCCTCACTTGAATTATATAGTTCTACCGCGACATGAACGATACACATTAATCGCACTTAACAATAATAGCAGTCTATCGACAAGTGCTATTCGTACAATATCATCGACTACAACTACAGAAAAACAACGTATGAGCATCTTAGTCTAAAACACTTATGACGCCTCTCTTTATTGCATCATTTTGTCCTTTGCATCCGATAGAGCGTGTTGTATTTCATGTTGCACTTCATGAATCCTCATAAAACTCTAGTAAAAACAAAGTTTTTCTAAAAATTTTAGTAGCTCGTTATGGTGAATCGTGCGACAATGATAGCGATTGTGAGAATCCGTTTATTTGCTTCAAAAAAGGATCGTCAACACCGGGCATGTGTCGATGTCCTTTAAAGTATGATTTTATCAAGGGTCGGTGTGGTAAGTACGAACGACATATATGCAAATCAAGAACGATTTTAATTTTTAAATTTGTTTTACTTAAGTTGGTGATCTCAATGCATTGTGTACAAAAGATATCGATTGTCAACGATTTATGCTCTGTATGGGTATGAAGGATGGAACACGGCAATGTCAATGTCAAACACAATTCCAATATGATAACGAACGACGACGATGTCGTACGTAGATCCATCGATTGCGAATGAAATAGTATTCAAATAATGATCGTATTTCCTAGGTGGTGACTATGAAGCTCCATGTGAAAGCAGTGTGGATTGTCGAACAAATCTTATTTGTAATAAAACTGCAACATCGGCATTTTGTTCATGTGAATCTCATTATCACTACTATCCAAGCGGAAAGAAATGTCGCGGTAACCCAGGTGCTGTATGCGATCGATTAACAGCTGAGTGTGTTGATAATGCTGAATGTCGTGATGGTGCATGCGAATGTTCGAATCAATTCGTACCGGATGAAAACAAAGTGTGCGGTAAGTAAATACGTATGGAGCAGCCAATTCGTATTTTTCTACTAAATTTAGTCGATCCATGTCCAACAAAACTCACAAGTCAAGCACGCATTCGTTATCCAGGCAATTGCCGACGTTTTATTGACTGTCAACAAAAGTAAAATTCTCTCCAATTACTAATGTGCATCTATAAAATATCGCTTTTCGTTTAGATCCAAAACAGAATGTCCGGAAATGACCATATTCAATTTACGTACCCAACTCTGTGACTATCCGAAAAATGTCTTTGATTGTCGATAGAAATATTCTTTTTAAGAATCTAGTATTATTATTATTATTTGTGTTTTTTTTTTGTATGACAAATGAATTTATCTATAGAGTGTCATTGTAATGTTCTTCTATCCTCAAAATAAAAACCAAATTATTGTATAGTTTTTCACTGGAACATAACATAAAATTGAATTGTGCGCGAATGACGCCATCTATCCGGAGAAGTAAAGAATACGTACACTCATTAACCAATCACGAAATAAATTTTTCTACAGTACATTTTTTCGTCTGATCTTTTCATTTTTGCTTGAAATAATCGCTATTCAACAGCTTTCAGATGGTCAATCAACCAGCTTCGACAGTTAATGAGCAACGTAATGATGATCTGATATTTTCCCACCTAAGCAAAGTTGAAGATTTTATCATGTAAGAAACAGTTCTCCATTTCCTTTCGTATATTCTATTTCGTTGTTTTGTTCGAATTGAAAGCGCTGATAAACAACGTACAGAAACACTTTCAAACTATGTGAAACATTTCTCCGATCTCAAATGTTCGCTCCTTCCATCATCATTCGCTACTGTTGCGCCCTTGTCCGTTCATGTACGTGGCTTTGACTCTGAACAAATCTATCAACAATTAAAGTCAATCAATGAACCGCGATTGAAACCATTCATAGCTACGCTCGTTAAAAGCAAAACGAAACAAAAAACATTTGGAAATTTACTTAGACCGCCTTCACCCGAAGAAGCACTTGTTGAAAAAGATGAAGATGACAATGATGAAGAAGAAGAAGAAGAAACACCGCTACCACCACCGAAAAAAGCACAAAAAAAGAAAAAATCCGTCACGTAAGAGATCAATTCGTCAATTATTGTCAGTCTTTTGAAAAGTTTTATTGTTTTAGATTCTTTGATTCACATGCATTGAATAAATTTCTCGATGAACAAGATCGTCAAGAAATGTCAAAGTAAGAATTTTCATTGAGAAATGTTTGAAAAATTTTGTTGAATTAGTATGAATGGAAAAGGGACTAACGACGACGAAGATTTTGATGATTTGGAAGATGATGATGATGGCGATGATCTATTGCTCGATGAGGACGATGTAAACATAGATTTATATTTTAACCCAACAGATAAACGTACGTCATTGATTTAGGAAGGTGCACATTACGATAGTTTCTTTGATCCACCCACTGAAACTAAACAAAAGAAGAAGAAGAAGACGAAAGACAAACAAGAAGAGATTGAAGTGTAAGTGACATGTATTTATACGTCGAATCTACATTTTCACGTTTTGTTCTTCAGTGATGACGATCATGCGGACATGAATAACGAAGCACAAGACGAAAACGATGAAGAAGAAGATCTCAATCTCGAAGATAAATCCGACTTTGAAAAACAACAAATTCTAGTAAATATCTTTTCTCGACACGTCTCTCGTCCATTTGGAATTCTTTTCAGTTAAAACGCCAAATAAAGTCAATTGAAAAAGACATGCTAAGTGCTAAACCATGGCAATTAACTGGAGAAATCGAGGGTCAAAAACGACCAGAAAGTAGTTTATTAGAAGAATATTTACAATACGAACGAACAACCCGATTACGTATGTTGTCACGTCAACGCTGATCGATTTCATCTTCTTGATTTTGTAGCGCCTACGATTACGACTGAAACAACGGATTCGCTTGAAGAATTAATCAAACAGCGCATTCGCGATCGGGCTTTTGATGATGTTGAACGAAAGAAGAAAACACCGCTGGGTGATGAAGCACAGGCATATAAGAAAGAGATTCTTCTCGAACATGAAAAAAGCAAAATGAGTTTAGCTGAAGTTTACGAACAAGAATATTTGAAGAAACAAACAGTAATTAGCTTACAAATAATACATGACAATATTCATTAACGACCGGTGTTTTATTTAGAACGATAAAACAGAAAAGAAAGATGAACGACATGAAAGTATTCGACAAATGATGCAGGATCTATTTGTTGATCTTGATGCATTGTCCAACTTCAGATTCACACCACGACCAGTAAGAACAACGTTTGTCTCTATTGAATATTCCTCACAAACAATGATCTATTTAGCCTGTACCGGAAGTGACTGTAGTGAACAATTTACCTGCTATCCTAGTAGAGGAAGTTGTACCAACAACAGTGAACGATTCAACGTTACTTGCACCTGAAGAAGTTCATGTAGGAAATTGTTTGTTGTTTGCAGTAAGAAAATTAGAGCTTTCTCATTCATTGTAGGTAAGATCCAAAGGTGATGTGAAAGCATCAAGTGAACGAACAGATACGGATAAGAAACATGCAAGACGTTTGCTCAAACATAAACTCAAATTAAAAGCAAAAGAGAAACCAAAGAAGACCAATCCAGAAGAAGAAACTAAGGGTAAATGAAAGACCAATTTGGAAAGAATATCTTCATCGTCTTTGATGTTTTTAGAAGAAAAACGAAATCTTTTGAAAAAACTCGGTAAAATGAAGAATGTGCGCATTGAAAAGGTAAGACCATCGATGTTACAAATCTCATTATCATTGTCAGCGATTTGAATCTAGACGGATAAGAAACACTCTAAAGACAAACCAGCGCGAAGTTCCACAAAATTTTTTGAGCAACTTCAACAATCGACATTAACAGCACCAACGAAGAAACAACGTCGCAATGATAATCCAGCAGCTACAGATTCGAAGCGATTGAAACTGTAGAACAACTATTGTTTGTTTTCTTCGTGTTTGTTTTGTTATTATTCGCATTTTTGTCGAATAAAATGAAGGAAAAAAAGCATATTCAGATATAAAGAGAGAGCTCGATTGTGTTCAAGAACGTCGCTTCGTTTCATTCACGATATGAATCGATTTGTTCATTTCTTATCATTTGTTACTGAAGACAAGAATAATGAAATAGTGTTTCTTATGAAAATAGTTTTATTTTTATCATCTTCCACCTATACACCTCTTCCAGCAAACAATGGTTATCTTTTTTTTTCTCTCTTTTCGTTGACGATACGAAGAATTCTTATCATTCGAATGTTGAGTCATCCTACCTTGTGCTCTTTGAAATATCATTTTAATAACTTTTCTAACTGATTTCGTCGAAGCACAATGTTCAGACAGTTCTTCGATACATCATTCAATGATTATCGTCAGGTACGAGTTGTTATTCAAGGATTACCACGCGATCCGCTAACAGGACCATCAGTTGACTTCCAAAGGTAAATTCTATCGTCGAGTTCAATTACAAACAAACTTTGTATTTTGCGTCCATTTAGATTTTGCACCAGTTTATTTAATCATAAGAGTTATACACAAGAACAATTCAAGCTTGAGTATTGTTATGTAAAAGAAAAATTAGCTGTTGATGAAGTACCATTGAATGAAATCCAACTGTATCGTCGACCGTTTGGTTTCATTTGTTTTGCTACTATACAAACTAGTGAAGAATTACACAGTGTTCTCAATCAATTCCGAGAAATGAAAGAGAAATACAAAGATGCGCATGTACATCTATTTGTTCGATATAAAACGACAGATATTAAAGAAGATGATGGTGAGATTTCAACGAACGATAAACTGGATGAATCGTAAGTACTATTGGAAGACGAAATGAACAATTTATAAATCAAAATGTACTTCTAGGGATTACACACCTGTGTATCGTCAATCTATTTCCAGTATGATGAGTACGGAGTCATATAATTCATTACCACAAGCAGTTACATCACTTAAACTACAAGAATCAATACATAATGTTGAGAATTGTGGAGCAGCATCTGATCCAGGATCTTTAACAAGTAGTTTCGATGATTCATTGGCATTTCAAGGCACTGAAGCGGATACGCTCGATGACAGTGATGAAAGGGGCGCTTCGATCGAAATCACGACTATGAAAACAACAAAGAAACCGAGAAAACCTCTTTTAAAAAGTTTAACTCTATCGACTACGACAATTCGTGATCAATTTGATAATGACGTAACTCGTGTTTCGCATGTTCTACTAACTAACCTAACCAAATTAGCAGCTGAATCAAATAATACGAATGGATTAATATATTCTCTCGATTCACAACTAGCTGACATACGTTTGATCGTGAAATCGGAAGCAAATTGTACACTTTTAGACAGCCAAGAGATATCTCGTCATGGATACAGTCAAGATCGTACGTACAAAGCTGCACTGAACGAATTCGATATGCGTATGATGCTGGCTTTATTTAATCAATATATAAAAGCCAATACGATTCTTGGCGCAGAAGTAGCCAAAGACAAGTAAAGAGCTTCATGATGATTTACCGACAAAACTGAAGTCGAACTTTTCGAATTTAGATTATCACGCAAGACAATTGAAGCACGAATATTAAAACGCAAAGGTGATTGCTATCTATTATTAGGAGCTATCGAAAGATCTCTACACACATATCGACGTGCTATAGAAGCATTGAAGACTCAAAACGATACGATATGGCATGCAGGTTGAGTAACATATCAGATTTGATCAGATGAAATCTATCGTTTGTTTTGTTAGCTGCTCTCGAAGGACGCGTCGCAGCTACATGTTCATCAGCACAAAAGCCTAAGACACGCTTTCCAAAAACGATGTCATACATATCACAACGTTCATTTACGAGAAGTATTTCATACGGTACTCTCATCTAGTCAGTTTCACCTTTTGAAATTTAGTGATATCTTTCAAGAAAATCTTGAAATTATCATCCGACGCATTGCTAAACTCCCAACCGGATATTGAATCATCTATACGCACCTATCATGCTGCCAGTAGTTCTTTGTATAATAAACAGGTCTTTCGATTAGAATTGGATGCTTGTTTACGTTGGTGTACTTTGCTCTTGGAACAGAATGACATTCGGGTAGAATTATTCATTGCTTCCCATCAAGTTTTTCTCGCTTTTTCTCAAATAGAAATATCGTAGTGATGTTGATGAGTATGTGAAACGAATCAATGCTTGCGGCCATGATCTACAAGAACATATCGATAGTGTAAGTCAGATTATGAAAGAATCGACGGGTTGACTCAAAGAAAATTTATTTTAGATATATTTAAATGCCTATTTAGCCGAGACGTATGCAACAGTTGGCCTAAAACGTAAAAGTGCATTGTACTATCGGTCGGCAGCATATTCAGGTTTGGAATTATTAAATGAACGCAAAGGTCACGAAGATGAGATTGGATTTTTCGATGAGCTCATCAGACGAGCGCGTACAGGTTATGGAATTGATGGTAAGAAATAAGATTCCTGTCGACTGCTTCCGTTATTCTAATACTCAAGTTGAAATTTAGATAATCAAATAATTTTTCCATTGATACAGAAGACCATTATTAGCGAATCAATACAAATTAGCTTAAAAAATAACGATTTTACGACGATTATTGAGTATGTTTCTTTGATTCATCATTCATCTAATTCTCGATATTCCGAATTAGAAATGTTCATTTTGCAATCGAAACACTCATTGACTACATGACAGATGAAGAATTAAAACAACTGCTTACATTTTTGAATGGCAGTGATCAATCAATTACTTGTTCGTATTGCAGCATACCGCGATTGAAGTAAACCTCATTTAATAGTTCAATTTTATATATTTTTCAATTTCTTAAAGATCTCTCGATCTTCTTCCTCCATCGGATCGATTGAAAGCATGGAAAACAGAAGCTGAGGGTGCATTGTTTATCTATCGTCCGAAAGTCATTGTGTCGAGTCAACATCAACCTCTCCATCGGAAAGTCGGTATGTTATATTCCACTTGCTACTCATCAAAAACTCTCTCTCTCTCTCTCTCATTTGAAATACGTCCGTGTTATAGATTTCTTCTGGGTTAAAAACGAAGAAGCACAAATCGCACTCGTCGTAGAGAATTATCTACCTTCGACTATGTATATCACTCAATTAGAATTTATTACTGACCATCAACTAACAACTAAACCTGATGGCAAATATCGTATTCCATCGCGCACTACCAAACGTTTAGTGATTGTTTGTATACCAAAAGAAACGGGTTCATACCGAATACAAGGTTTGCTAGTCGAAATTGCATAGACGATAAACATTTCATTTCGATTAGGTCTTCGTTATCGAATATTGTCTACGAGTCAAGAATATCTTTTCAAAGATGTACCTGCTATTCGTCATTGTGCGTGTTCGGTTGATGTTCTAGATGAGCTGCCCATTCTTGCAATTGAATGTGTACATGTTAATGAGATGAAAATCGATTTGGTCGATGAAACAACTGAGTACACTGCACAAGTTCATCGAGAAGAAGAGTAGGTTGTGTAAGAGAAGAAAACTAGATGTTTTTTTTTGTCTTTAGTTTGTTTGTAACATTTGATTTGATGGATATGTCGTCGACATGTGACATCGATCAATTGGAGATTCAAGTTTTAGCATCGGGCCTCAACATGACAGGTGTACATCGAAATCACGAACACTAAACTCATTTGTTTTTCTCTAGAGTATGTTAAAATTCCACAACTCAGCCTGCCGATATACACTGGTACAAAGATGAAAACAAAGCTGGATCTCTCCGAGATTTATGATCGTTATCTGGCACGTCAAGGTCGAATAGGAACGACTATTGAAGTGAATTGAAATCAGCGTTTTCTATCCAAGAGTTTCCTTCTTGTTTTTAGTGTCTGAATATTGAATTTCGATTGAAATACTTCAATCAATCTTCAACGACAAATAACTATTATCGTCAAAGTACAATCGAGCTTCGTCTCGATTACTTTTCATCGATTTTCTTCGAAATAAACGACATACAAAGCGATGATGAGTAACAATAAAAATCTCTCCTTTTGTTTTCTATTTTTATGCACCGATTTCAGTGATTTATCTTATATGTTGTGCTGTACAATCGCCAATCATCTATCGGAGGATATAACATTGCAAAATAACATAATCAAACCATCGGAAACATCATTAACAATGATCAAACAAGATAAAATCAAATTAAACACATTTCCATCAGACTTAAATGAATTAATTACTGCAATCCGAAATCAACTATCCACACACGTTCATTACAAAACAACAAATTCTGTAAGGATTGACGTAATAAATGTTGTACATATGGTTTTTTTTCCTTCGTTGAACTAGAATAAACGTCTGCGTCTACCGATCAATTGGCAGAACTTTTCCAATGATAAAATTCAAAGTCATTTTCACGATCTTATTCAATCACCTTACACCTGCGACTGGCATTTCAAAAAATTAGCCAATACTCTGCATATTCGTCTATGTGTTTCATCCAAATATTACAAAATCTGTCAATTAGAGTTCCGTTTCCCATCATCGAACGGTATTCGATTTTTAAATTCCAACAGAATTCTTTTCAGCGATGTAACTATACTCAGAACGTTTGTCTACACATGTCAATAAGTTTCCTTTGTTTTCTCTTCTTAGATTGAACCGGGAAAATACTGTACGGCTGAACGGGTTTTAATCTTTTCTCAAGGAGATAGTTCCGATGTTCTCGTAGTTGACGTTAGTGTGAATAACATCGCATGGAAAAGCATTACGTTAACTGTTTGAATAAACTTCTTTGGTTGATTTCGATAAAATAATAAACACATTCTAGTATATCAAGGCATTTATGTTATACAGAGCTGAAGTTGAGTGTATGGTTACATAAAAAAACAGAATAATTCTTATCTTTTGTTTGAAAATAGGTGACAAATGAAATGATAAACAAGTTGTCGCCAACTTGCCTTTTTCAGTAGTCATAGAATACATCTCCATATGACGCGTTTCGTACCAGAGTCACTCACCTAAATTATCTCTGTCGGCCGTGTTCGAAATTCTCTGAAAGACAAGTAAGTAGATTGAAGATCATCTATGATGAGTTGATTTTTCGTGCTTCGATTGAAAACAGAAGTCTAACGCCATCTAGTTCGATTGAATTTCAACTGTTTTTCTTTTCTCTTTCATCACCAGTCTGAAATTCGTGGTGAGCAATAATGATTCACACTATCTTTTGTTTGACTCAGCCTTGATGGATCGAAAAATATTCGAGTTGGTCAAAATGCGAAAATTTCTCTTCTTTTTCCTTCCATTCTATTCTTAGATCTACATTTGCATGATTTTTTTTTCATTCGTAACAAAATACCTTGAAAAGGCATACTATTCGTACATTTATTTCCTCCTACGAACAATGACTTCTATACAGACCATTCAAACCGTCTTCTCATTTGTTTTTCGAACTTACAATACGAACGTTAAGCTCTTCGATGACACACGCATCATTAGCGACTAAGCCTTACATTCCTTCATCTTTTAATTCTTGTCCATAGCTCTTACACACTCTTCATACTTTTTTTTAAAGGTACGATTCGAATCACAACCAATTCCATGAATACCGAGCTCAATAAATAAGGCACACGTCATGAATAGGTCAAGTCGTGAGAATGTCGTACGGTGTAAAACAAAGCAAACTTGTAGATATTCTATTTTCTTTGTCGTAGAATTTACAAATGCGAACACCATCGAACCGAATTAATGCAAAAAAGTATCGATTTAGTTCAGTGATTGTCAATCATCAATTGAAAGGTTTGAAAGAATGAATAATATTGTTTACTGAGCGAAGAAAAGTATGAATATGACATGAGGTGGGAGAGTTATTAGTCATTACATTTCTCACGTGTTTCGATTTCTCAGTGAATAGAAAAACTTAAATGTCTGACGATTCGATGTAGACTGATACATTTGAATTTATTCATTTAGTTTCTGATCATCAGCAAATTCCTCCTTCAAACTTCGAAATCAATGACACATCTAGTGAAGTGAAAATCAACCAATCCGTAAGTCTTTCGTTCATTCTTTCTTTCGTTCAACATTTACAGAGTTTGATACAAAAACCTTTCGGCATAATTCAAGGCAAATTTGATTTACTCTTTTCAAAACCAACGATAAATATTTCATTGAAGTAACGTTTCAAACATACATACGTATATATCTCTAATGAGAATATTTTCGACAAATATATTTATGACTTATCATAAAAGCATTAAATAGTAATGTTGTTCTACTCTTTTTCTTTGATGCAGACATTCTTCCATCCAACTACATTGGACGAATTATTCCATGAATTGACAGCGTGTCAGCGAAAACAAACACTCTTAATCGAACGAATTCATGAGCAACTGAAATCTTCTCATTCGGCGACGTTTTTCCTGCCATTTGATTCTTTATCTAATAGTAAAACGGTTCCTTCGTTGCAAGATGCCTTTCAACAACATAAATCTTCTTTTATTCAACAATCAAACGAACGTATCAGTGAAATTCACCGTCATAGAACGAAATCGCATCAGAGAATCATCCCACCAGTCAAACGAACGAGCAATACGTATTTACAAGAAAAACGACAGTATGAAAATGATCGTCTATGTGCAATGATAATCAAACATCAAAATCGACAGAGTGCGAAAATCTATGGAGATTTAGTTCGACATAAATTATATGACAATTGAACAGGCAATAGCTTTCTTTTGTTTTTCAGATACGGTTTTTTTTTTAAAGAATAACCTGAAGAATGAGTGAGGATGGACATCCGGAACATGAGAAGAAAAAAAGCAAAGAGAAGAAGAAAGATACTGCGGTAAGAATCACTGAATTTCTAAGAGAATTCACCGATCATGTTGACAATTGCAGGTTGGAACGTTATCGTCGAAATTTATGGTGAGAGATTCATGTTGTCGAATTTGTTACTACGCTCATTCGGTATGTTTCTTTAGAAAACAATGAGAATATCATCGGGAAAATCTCGTAATCCGCTGCCGTTTGATACCAATGTTGATCAGAGTGCACTGGGTTCCAGTAGAAGCAATCATCCGACCACTACACACGATAATACATTTACATCTTATACAGCATCATCAGAAATAGCGCCAGTTTCGTCGTCAGCTGCAGCTAATGATCTCGATGTAACCGCACTGACCGATGATGAAGTTCGAGAACGTTTTAAATCTGTCATGGTTTGTAGAATTTGTGTCTGTAATCATGAAGTTTTCTCCTTTCCTCTACTAGGATGATCTGTTCGAAGGAAACGAAACAAAAAAGAAAATGTTCGAACAAACAACCACAGCACATATGAGAGAAATGCTTAGTTCGCATTATAAACTCGCCACGGTAAAATATTTCCAGTGATTACAATAGTCTAGAAAACTCTCTTCGATTCGATTTTAGAATGAGATGAGTGGTCCCAAATCGCCTGAATATCAAATACAATGTTTGAATCATGTTACGATGGATAATATCTATTCGAAAAATAGTAAAGATACATTCGAACGTGTGGCGTTTTCGCTGAAAAAGTACGGTCTCAAATGGAGTAAAGTGTTTGGTGAGAATTCCAACGGACCCAATGCGATGCTGAAAGCAATGCGAGCTTGCATCGCAAAAATTCAATTCACACGAGAGTACGTCTCGATAAACAAAAGTGTGATTCGCATTCTTGTGGTTTTCGATTCATTTCAACAGGAAAGTCAATCGTGATGGTGACGAACGTCGAGAAAAACAATGTGCACTGCATGATATTTTGGGAGCTGGCATTGAAGCATTTAAAGCCTACCTCAATCTCGGATGGAATTTTAATTCAATGAAAGAATCCTTAGCCAAAGACATAGCGGAGATCACGATCGATGCCTTGAATATCTTAGCGTTCGAAGCTGATGAACGGTCAAATAAAATCAAACAAACATGTGCTATTCTTTTGTTTGCATTGGCTATGCCAAATGAAAATAAGTACGTTTTAACTGCGAGGAAAAATAAAAATTCAATGAATGCATCTACTTCTAGTCCTTCGAATGGTCAAAATATTGTTCTACTTCTAGCACAGTCTGTGAAGAAATGGTGGCCAGGTCGTGAACGATTCGATTGCTTGGTTAACTCCTTTGAAGCAGGAATCGAAATAGCGGTATGAAACTGGAATGCACTAATCGAATATTATTCGGTAGTTGCTCTATTTCTAATTTTTAGAGTAGTTTTCTAATGTGTATCAATGCTATATTTGTTACTCTATCAACGGAACATCGGTATCATTTACGAAGTGAACTGTTTCGTTGTGGCTTCAAGACAGCTTTTGAAGTACGAATTGAAAGAACGATCATCTTCCAGTTTCACATCAATGATTTTGCTTAAATAGGGATTGCAAAAGAAGGTTCAAGAATGCGAAGATCCAAAGCAAAAAGAAATGTTAGTAGCACAAATCAATCTATTTCTTCGTCATGTTGACGATGATTACCAATCAATGAATATTAAACTTGAATCGATATCGAGCACTTGGGCGTAAGAATTTTTCCACATTTGATTTACAACAACTCGAAATGCGATTTTCCTATTGATCTTAGTGATCTTCAAGCTTGTTTTGACTATTTACACGGTTTAGTTAAAAGCACACCTTCAGAACCAATACTTGCCAGTATTATTAATCGATTAATTTGTATTCGTGATGATCCAGCTATTCGGTTAGTTGACAGAATCGCTCTTACGCATACCTACGAGGTTTTTCCAATTCTAGTTGTTCATATTTACGTTTAATCGATGAATGTATAACACGTATTGTGTTTTCAAAATCGGCCTGTGATCCTGATTTCGATACATATTCGATGGATAGTGAATCGATTGGCGAATCGGGTTTAGGTCTAAATGATCATATACCATCAATACGTAATGGTTCATTACATGATCTTTCACAAATGGCCACTACGACCATGAATAATTTAACAGCAACAGAAAATGAAATACAAATAAGCCTAATGAAAGGACGTGTTGAACATCTAGAACAAACCAGAGAGAAATTAATAAAAGCATTGGAAACTGTGCTAACAAAAGTAAAGAAAAAAGAAAAAAGAATTGCGGAACATTTTCTCTTTGATAGGTTGATGCAGAAACAGTGAATAATTTAAAACACCAATATGGTGATATTATTGGAGATACTGTATCGACTACTAGTCCGCGAAACAACATTCCACCACCACCTCCGCCTCCATCATCAATGGGAAACATTCCACCGCCACCACCAATGGCCGCATCATTAGGCAGCATGCCACCACCACCACCTCCATTACCTGGAAGCTTAATGCCGCCACCTCCACCACCACCAGGTAACATATCGACAAAATGCTTTAAAAATTAGTAGGAGGTCAAATCACAAATATCTGTATAGGAAATATACCACCGCCACCACCTCCTATGCCAGGTCAGATCATATCACATCGCTTGTGTGTTTCTTTCACTCTTCTTTCTCTTCTCACTTCTGCTTGCTCATCTTTTCAAAAGTGAAAAAACATAACAAACCAAAACCTTCTTCCAGGTCTCATACCGCCAGCACCTCCAATGCTGACAGAGGGTGGCATTCCACCACCCCCACCGTTTCCGGGCATGACCGGTGGAGGAATTCCACCTCCACCTCCACCATTTCCAGGTATGGCCAGTGGAGGAGTTCCACCTCCGCCTCCACCATTTCCAGGTATGGCTGGTGCCGGAGTTCCACCTCCGCCTCCACCATTTCCAGGTATGGCTGGTGCCGGAGGCGCACCACCACCCCCACCGATGATGAATATGACTGCTCCCCCATTTGGTATCTATAATTTATCTCATAACTTCCAAAGCAAAATCTACTTTTGAAATTTTTTTCTTTTGAGGTCCACCACCGTTGCCGGATTTCTTACCAACCAAACAGAAATATGTTGTCGGCGAAGCTGTGAAAAAAGTTGCATGGAACAAGATAAATCCACAGTCAATCAAGAAAGATTCCATCTGGGCGAATCTTGACGAGAAAAATTTTCAAAAGAAAGATCTATTCGCAGCAATAAAACAAAACTTTGCGACAAAATCCGCTCCTGGTATGTACGGATATTTCTATACCTTCATCTCCTGAACACGCTTTGCGTTTGTCTTCTATCAGCGAAAAATCCAGCTGACAGTGATAACGAATCATCATCATCATCGACTACTGTAAAGAAAACAAAAGAATTCCGTGTACTTGATCCACGTGCTGGTCAAAATTTTGGTAAGATCATCACGTGATTACTTAGATATTCTTTAACTGATAGATTTTCTTCTTTTTAGCAATTATGTTCAGTCAATTAAAATCCACTCCACAACAATTTCGTCAGTGGATTCTTGCGTGCGATAGTCAACATCTCACAAGCGATTTACTTGCTCAATTAGATAAATCATTACCTACTCCTGAAGAATTGAAGAAACTCTCTGACCTGAAGAATGAAATCAACGATCTACCTGATTCCGAACAGTATTTCTGCGCCGTAAGCGACATAAAACGTTTACATCAACGCATCAAATTACTTCTATTCAAAAGTCAATACAAAGAACTATTGGAAGAAACAGAAAAGGTAAAAAATATACTTGACACATCAAAATACTTTTAGAAAGCATCTAAAATTCTTCATTTCTTTCTATAGAACCTAGTTGCCGCACGACAAGCATGTGAAACAGTTCGAAAATCTAAACGCTTTCCAAAATTGATTGAATTTGTTTTAACCATTGGTAATTATATGAACTCAAGTGCCAAAACGTATGAGCCCATCTACGGTTTCGACATTAGTTTCCTTCCAAGAGTAAAAATTTTAAATATTACAAAGTAATTTTCTTATTTTTCGTCTCATCGAATAGTTACACTCGACTAAAGCCAATGATGGTAAACGAACATTGCTACATTTCATTTTACAAGAGATTGAAAAAGATCATTCGGATTTACTTAAATTTGGTGATGAATTTCAAGGCGTTGCTGAAGTTGCATCGAAAAGTAACACATTCGAGCTTATTTTCGTACACTAAACCGATCAATTTGTTCGTAGTTGATACTAACGAATTACAACGAACACTAAACGAAATCAAATCCCGTGTTGCTGGTGCTCAGACCGATTTAGATAATGCTAAGAATGCGACGGCAGATTCTCTTGCTGGAGATCGTTTTAGTGATGCAATGGAGGTAACTGAAACTCGGCTGTTTGTAAACATTCATATTTCGATTTTTTCCTTAGGGTTTTGTCAAAGGTGCACGAGATGATGTTGAACGACTCGAAGGATTGAATACGAAATTAATCAGTACTTATCAAGATCTATGTGATTATTTAACAGTCGATCCTAAAAAATGTCCTTTGAGTGATTTCTTCACGGATTTGAAAACATTCTGCACAGTGTTTTTAACATGTTTACAAGAAAATCGTCTATGGCGCGAACAAGAAGAGAAAGCTCAACGTGCTAAACAATCCAAACAATTAGTTGATGAGATTCGTAAGACTCATCGTTCTGAAGCGAAAGCAGAACCCAAAGCATATTTTAAACCAAGTAAAATATCTTCAAAATTCATATTCTCGATAAAAGAAATATTATCCACAAATTCTCTATAGGTGACGAAGATACTGATGTCGTATCTAACCTTATGTCTGTGCTGAAAGATACAAATATGGCTGCACAACCCAGACGAGTTCGTCGACCGCCAGGTAAG